TCACCACCCATTTGATCCTATGTACGGATGCCTCACAGAAAGCTGTCGGGGCTGTATTGCAACAACAGGTAAATAACATGACTACTCCCGTAGCGTTTTGTTCCAAAAGATTATCACCAGCCCAGGAACGTTATAGTACTTTTGGACGCGAACTCTTAGCTATGTATTTAGATATAGTTGGGCCACTGCCTCCGTCCAATTCTTTCACCTACATTCTCACCGCAGTAGACAGGTTTACTAGATGGGCCATAGCCTGCCGTATTAAAGACATTTCGGCAGAAACAGTCGCTTCAGTCTTCCTCGACCGCTGGATATCTAACTATGGAGTACCATCAATAATCACAACAGATCGTGGTCCCCAATTTCAATCTGTCCTTTTTCAGGAGTTCACTAAACTTCTAAGGGTCAACCACATTAAAACCACAGCTTACCACCCAGCAGCTAATGGCTGACAACCTTATGTTGTAAATAGTTTTCAATGTTATTTGTATTTATTTTGTCAACCTTCCACTGTATGTATATTTAACATTAAACGACTGTAACTGTTGTTTTAGTCAATGACCTTGAATTCACTTTCCGTTGTGCTTCTTACATAGCGTGACACACCTTTGGTTGTTCGGAAATACATTACTACTCACGCATCCCTCGTTCTATTTACGTTTGCGATTGAGTTAACTGAAGTCTAAATCAAATATTATCATTATTTATAGACTGTAATTGGAATATATCACATCCTACGTGGGATTATATCACTATAGAGTTCGCCAACTTGCTCAGAATCATCAAGCATTTATAGTTGTGGATTTACATTACCGGACCTAATCAGAACACGCAACGTTGGGTCAATTTAAGTAACGTCCCTAATTTTTATTGTATTTGTAACAATTAACTGTATATATTAATATTGCTATTGATCCTTAGTAACTTTGTTTATACTTTTCGCGTTCATATCTGTCTGGTCCACCACAATTATTTGGTGAGCCCTGATTTTTTTATAGACATCTATTATATATATCTACATATTTTTTTATTATTGTTCATTGGCACGACACCATTTTTTTGTTTTTGACATTATGAACTCTCCTAATAAACTTATCGATATAGATAGCCCATCAACCAACCCCTTTCATTCATCACAGCCAGAAATAATGTTTTAAACTCCGTCAACACTATTTCTGAACTAAGATTACCAACATACGGTGTCAACAACCCTAGAATTTGGTTTGCTCAAGTTTAGGCACTATTTTTGGCGTGGGGTATACGTTCACAAGCGACTAAATATGCCCACGTCGTTGGTGCACTACCTATAGAAGTAGCAACGGAAGTCGGAGACCTGATAGATAACGTACCAGAGACGGACCCCTATGACAAAATAAAAGCCGCAGTAATCCACCGTACTTCGCAGTCTGACGAAAAACGTTTACAGCAACTACTCACCGCATACGAGTTAGGGGACAAAAGACCTTCACAGTTGCTTGGACATATGAGACAACTAGCAGGCTCATACAAGTTAGACGAAGCATTACTTAAGCAGATGTGGTCACAAAGGTTACCACATAGCGTCAGACAAATCCGCAGCATATCAGGAGCCTCTGTCAGTCTTGATGATTTAGCAGATATGGCCGATAAGATGATAGAAATATATCCCGATAGTTGCGGCGTTAACGCGATACAATCCTCAAGTAGAGAAAACATGAGCGACGCACTCAACATCCAACAACAAATAACAGAGTTAACACAGCAGCTAGCATCACTGCAGGCGACTATTTCCACCATCCATTCTCGACCCCCCAGATCTACGTCCAGAAGGAGATCAGTATCCAGACATCGTCTTAGGTCACTTAAGCGGGCAGCCGGAATTTGTTGGTATCATTCGAATTATGGTGAGAAAGCACGTCGTTGCACAAAACCGTGCAACTTCACGACAAACAAGCCAGACCATCAGGGAAACGAAGTGGCCAGACAGTAATGGCGGCAGCTGTTACTGGCCAGCATGTTAGCCGCCTCTTCCACATCAGGGATCGTATTTCTGGCTCAGACTTTTTAGTCGATACGGGAGCAGAAATCAGCATCATCTCACTCCATCTCTCACGCAGACAACATACGACAAGCACTAAATTGTCCTTAGTAGCGGCTAATGAATCAATTATCAAAACGTACGGTGAGCAATCACTTATTTTAGACCTCGGACTCCGCAGAAGATTCACATGGGTTTTCATAGATGCTCAAGCCCTATGACAAAATAAAAGCCGCAGTAATCCACCGTACTTCGCAGTCTGACGAAAAACGTTTACAGCAACTACTCACCGCATACGAGTTAGGGGACAAAAGACCTTCACAGTTGCTTGGACATATGAGACAACTAGCAGGCTCATACAAGTTAGACGAAGCATTACTTAAGCAGATGTGGTCACAAAGGTTACCACATAGCGTCAGACAAATCCGCAGCATATCAGGAGCCTCTGTCAGTCTTGATGATTTAGCAGATATGGCCGATAAGATGATAGAAATATATCCCGATAGTTGCGGCGTTAACGCGATACAATCCTCAAGTAGAGAAAACATGAGCGACGCACTCAACATCCAACAACAAATAACAGAGTTAACACAGCAGCTAGCATCACTGCAGGCGACTATTTCCACCATCCATTCTCGACCCCCCAGATCTACGTCCAGAAGGAGATCAGTATCCAGACATCGTCTTAGGTCACTTAAGCGGGCAGCCGGAATTTGTTGGTATCATTCGAATTATGGTGAGAAAGCACGTCGTTGCACAAAACCGTGCAACTTCACGACAAACAAGCCAGACCATCAGGGAAACGAAGTGGCCAGACAGTAATGGCGGCAGCTGTTACTGGCCAGCATGTTAGCCGCCTCTTCCACATCAGGGATCGTATTTCTGGCTCAGACTTTTTAGTCGATACGGGAGCAGAAATCAGCATCATCTCACTCCATCTCTCACGCAGACAACATACGACAAGCACTAAATTGTCCTTAGTAGCGGCTAATGAATCAATTATCAAAACGTACGGTGAGCAATCACTTATTTTAGACCTCGGACTCCGCAGAAGATTCACATGGGTTTTCATAGATGCTCATGCCCTATGACAAAATAAAAGCCGCAGTAATCCACCGTACTTCGCAGTCTGACGAAAAACGTTTACAGCAACTACTCACCGCATACGAGTTAGGGGACAAAAGACCTTCACAGTTGCTTGGACATATGAGACAACTAGCAGGCTCATACAAGTTAGACGAAGCATTACTTAAGCAGATGTGGTCACAAAGGTTACCACATAGCGTCAGACAAAATATGTTAAGTGAATCAAATCATGATCAAAACCTGATGCAGGTTTGATGGATGCTGATTATTCAAGGATTCATTATTCTTTAGTGAAATTCCTAATAAATTTGAGGAAATTGTTTCAGAAGACTCAGATTCTGACGTCATATCAAATCTAATTTGTCCTCACATCGGATCTATTTCCAGTGATATTCCTAATGAAAGTGACATATATTTTCCGAATGAGTCGAATTATAGTCACATTTCTGATGTTATTGTATCAGCTGTTGGATATTCTCACAACACATGTATAACAAGCAGAATTCTATTGAGCGGTATAAAGGATCAAAGGGAATAGGAAATTTGCCCAAAGCAGTCAGAAAACCAGTTTATCCAGATATGAAGTTTGCACAGGCAGCGAATTCAAATCAAGTTAAGAGTATCCTAATGAGCATGAGGCAGATGAATATTTTCCATTTGATTGTTTAGCAGGTGAATCAAGCACAGATGAAACACATGTTAATTACACATATCAATGCATATTTACCTGTGTATTCTAATATGAAAAGCGAAAGGAATATGTATCATAGTCTCTATGCAAGTCAAATTCACATGATGGAATGCCTCAAATTATCTGTCAGTGTGCATCTGGTAGTTTTTTTATTTATCTCGAGGTTTTCTTCTTGCTGTTTGTGCTTTATTCTTGATGTGGCATTGGATAATTTTTTATAATTTTATCCTTCGTTTTTATTTCACAGTTAGATATTTGAATGCAATAACGACACACTCAAGAAACAAACTCTGAATTTGCTAGCAATTCAGTCCATCCCTGTTGTTCGATTTAATCAGATGTCATCACTCTCAGTTCTGTTCTACTACTAGATAATTTGTCATTTGATTCATTTATCTAACCTAATTTTTTTTCGTGCTGTTTACATTTTAAACGCTATTATTCATTTTTTATATGAAGTGTAATTCATTTTCCCCCCATTGATTGCAATATATTATCCTATTTCCGTTATCTTTATTTTAACACTGTTTTGACTTGACTGAAATATATGCATCGATAAACTATCGCACTCGACTTATTCTCATTCATTTCATTTTCAGTCAGATAATTCAAATGACTGATAATATAGTTGCTAATCAATCAACTTGATAATAACATTTTAATTTTCATATGTCGGTTTATGACTTATGAAATGTGAATCCAAAAAGCACCTATGTCTTAAATGAGTTTCTGTCCTTTTTTTTAAAATATCATTCTACTTTATAATTATATTATATTTATAAAATAAGTATAATAAAACTTTTATTTTGTCAACCAGTTATTCTGCTTTCTGATATCGCTTCCTTGTTGAACATCACATCAGTAATGTAATTATCAAGTGACCATATTCACGAATAGCAACCGATCGCACATAACTCACAGTTCCTATAACTATCCCTAATTTATGACAAAGAAATTCTGTATAATAAGAATTCAATTACTATTGTAGTTATGTGTTCAGTAAACTGTGTATGAAACTGAAATACAGTGCAATAAGATAAGCTTATTGATCAATGGTTTTTCTATCTTAAACTAAACATTTGGAAAAAAAGAAACTTCGGCTTCAAATTTCCATGTTAAATTGTCCAGAGTTAATTTGACTGTGATAATCAAATACAGAATTACCAAAACATTACAAATGCATGAAAAAATTTACTCAGTAAATGGATTACTTGTATCTCGGTTAATAAATGGTAACGTATATCGAGGAACTATCAGATCAAGATACGTACAGATAAAACACAAGATTATAATGGAATAACAATGTAGAATAAATTAAGCTATCATTGTTTTAAATAACATTGGTTTTGCATAATATGAGGGCACACAATTATGTAGACAATTAAACCCATGACCATCAATTCGATATTTTTTGCTCTTGTTGTACTATTGACTAATAGTGAGTAGCACAAAACGTTTTACAGAATCTCAACCCTAGTAATCGTGTACATTCGATTTAGGAAATGTTTCTGATATCAATAAACTAAATAACTAATAATACAATGAAAGAAAAAACATTCAAACTCATGATCATGTATAATGAAATCTGTAATCTATCTGTACTGGAACAATGAAGTGGGTTATCCTCATCATTCGGAACTAAAGTCCACTTTTGTGATTGTCTACGATAGCGCGGAACACGGGAAGTTTCACAAACATCTGGACCGACATCTGGAAGAAGATCAACATTGATTTGACTGATGTGATTTTTAAAAGTACATGCTGAAGATATATATGTCATCATGGAGTGCATTTTACTGTATGGCAGTAGTCTCAATAAGGGAAATCATCGTTACGATTATTATTATTATTATTATTATTATTATTATTATTATTATTATTATTATTAACTACTGAAGGGTTAGCGAAATTCCTTTGAGCCCTAGCTGAACAGTTTCTATGTTAGACAAGAGATCACTGAATATTGAACAGCATATTGAATACCGCCGAGGTCAAGCCTGATCAATCCACACCGACCGAATGCACGCCACGGACAGGTGCATGCAGCAACGACCCTTATCTGTATTTCTTCAATCTGTAATTACCAATACATTCTGTTTCAGCAGTAGTATTATATAATATTTGTCACTAGCAAAGCCGATCCATCTGGTTATCAAGATACAGCAAGCCAGGTTGGGTATTAACATTGAGGTGTGACTTCAACATAAGTCAGAAGGTCACGTTATTCCCGATCAACCCGAATAGACCACAAACATTGGTGGTCTGCACCACTATCAGTACTAATAGTACTAATAATATTATTAGTAAAAGTATCAGTAGTAGAAAAGAAAGGTACGAACAGGTAATATGCTTCGAGAAGAAAGAATGATGAGGTGAGGTTGTAATGGGAGCACTTGAAGTAGAGGGGAATATTAAAAGATGGGGTGAAATACGTGAACTGCGATATTTAACAATAGTGGCTAATATGGAGGTCATATTTACGTGTCGAAAACTGGTTAACATAAACTTAGGGAGATGATGAAGTTATAATTATAAATCATGATAAAAATAAGTAATTACGTAGGAAAATGACATAATCAGGACAAGATTTACCTAATGAGAGAATGCTGGTAGATCGAGGTAAATCAGGATTATGTGATGAATGAGACATCAAATTACTCTCAGTGTCAGGAAAAGTTCTCAACAGAGTGTTTACGAATTAATAAATGATTCACAGGACACCCAACTTCGAGACCAAAAAGTTGGATTTTGCAAACATAGATAATGTTCCGACTAAATCGTGACACATCGAATCATTCTTGAGAAGTCGTTTCAATGGAACTCGTAGTTTTACATCAACTTCTCCGTTTATGAGAAATCATTCGACAGTGTGGCTAAAAGAACTTCAAAGAACCCTCTTTCACGTTATGGGATACCTGACAAGATCGTCATCATCGTACTTAACTGCTGAGATGGACTAAATTTCAAAGTTGTCCAAAAAGAGAAGCTCACAAATGCGTTCCGTACCAAGATTTATGTCAGACATGGCTCTCTACTCTCATCATTTCTTGTTCTCCTAGCTTTTTACTGAACCCCCACAACTCAGAAGTAGAATAAAACATAGTGGATATCTTGGACGCAGTTAGCTGCGTGGACTCATCTAGTGACTCGGTCGTTCTACCCTACACACAGAAACAAATGTAGATGAAGACATACGATGTAGCAGCGGCTTCTACAACAACAGGCCTCAATATTCACATGAGAAAAGCAAGACCCCAAGATACAACACAGCGTGCAACAACCAAATCACACCTGATAGAGAAGCTGTGAAAGAGGTAAAAACCTTTCCATAAATAGACAGCATCACTGATAAGCAAGGAGAATATGACGGGTTTTTGAATTCATGGTTCGCCAAAGCAAGGGAACCATACCTACAGTTGAAGAAAAACTGTCAGCTAATACAAAAGTTGTAAATTTAACGTCAACCCTAAGAAAGTTCTACTATATGGAGCTGAAGGTTGGAAAACTACCACAACCATCGTTTAAAAAGAACATATTTATTGACATAAGATACTGTAGATATATTGGCTAGAGACTGTCATCAATCAGCAACTGTACCAGGACACAAACCAGCTTCCAACTGAGGATGAAACTAGTGATTCAAAAACTTGTCAAGGTTAGAAACAAGTTCAGAGGTTCTAAAATCTTAATACATGCAGTAGAGGAACTCATCCATATGGCTACAGAATAGTCGGCCTCTGGAGCTATGATAAGGTCTCAAAAACTCTTTCAGCCTCGACCACATAGCTTCAATATTGTTAGTGTGCACTCCGGTTGTTGAGTACACAAAATGCCACTTGTGGATAACGACAATGCACATAACCGAGCATATGTAGGAGTCTGTACGCTTTCCGATCATCCGTATATAATGTAGTACCTGGCTGCAGCCAGCGTTACTGGTGCTTTTATTATCCAGTTCGCAATAATTGTAATAATTTGCCTTAGTTAGAAATTATATATAGGGTTTTCATCACGAACTGACATTGGCTATAATGCCAGAAATCTATTTAGCCAAATGGATGAAAGGCTTTCGCGTCAAAATCCGAGGTCTGTTATCTTATACCTGATTGATTCGTCCACAAATTATAGTCGTTTTATTTGTTATAGCCGCTCAATTATCACGTTTTGTACAAAATTTCATGTGAAACGATCGTACGTTAGCATTAAGCACTAAGGTTGGCGCCGTGACCATGAAATCTCTAAAACGCTCCTGATTGGCTCGTCCATAAACTAGTCTCGTAAAATAATAGAAAATTTATGTATCCTAAAACATATTACGATTAATTTTCTTTTGATTATTTGATGATAACACGTTCAACAGCCAGTTACGTAACAATGTTTTGATTCACATCACTAAGTACAGATTTTTATTCCTTCCTTCATTCTTATCTGAGTTCCAGTTAGTTAATTAATTTTCACAGTTGAAATCACGAGCCGATCTAAGTTAGACCACCACTGAAACTTGAAAGCATTGGACATCTATTTCGTACTAGTATAATCAGTGCGCGTTCACGATCCTTCACGCGGGACTCGAACCCATGACTTTTAGTTTCGGGTGGAAATTCTCAATTTTCAAATCATTAAGCCGGCATCCGACGATGTTAATGTCTAATTTAATCAATCCATGATCTTGTTCAACCCTCAATCAATTGCTTGCTGTGGATAACTGTCAATTTTTGTCATATTTAGTAATACATAACTTAAGATGATAAGTCTTCTTCCAGTTTGGAATGTAATTTTCAGCTGTTTCTTCCAGGATATCTATCAAGTTCATCTATAGATAATTAGCTGCATAAATTATGCCTTTAACGCTTCGTTTTTTTTCCAGAATTAATCTACATCCATGTCATCTAGGCTCATAATGAAGGCTTTTTTAATATAAAGATTGCATACTTGTCTTGTTTTTAATGGATAACTAGATTATTTGTATATACCAATCATTATAGGATCACTGATGAACAGACGTGGTCAGGTAGCGAGAAAAATTTTAAAAAATGACAATTTATGAAAGCTGTTTCTTGGACCATCAGTACACTTAATTTTCAATGTGTAATGTAATGACTAACAGGGTTCGTCTGGCAAGTCATTTAATTAAGCCATTACTCCTCAAGGTCAGTTGACAATGATAGGACTCACGCGTAGTAGTTCACAAGACACCATGGTATTCGGGCATTAAAAAGACGTAAATCAAATCCCTAACATACCTGACGTCATTTCCATTGGGTACCAAAGGTCAATAAAACATAATTCCCGATTTTGTCCATGTGGGGGTTAAATACTTGCATCAAAAAGGTAAAAATAGACATATTTTTAAAGTCAAAATGTGATTGATTCGTGTCCAAATGTGAACACAAAAATACTCAGATACAGGTGTATCCAGTTGACTAGCCTCCTAGATATCAATTCTGGCTACAGTCTATCTATCCTCTCAAACACAAATTTCTATTTGAGGCAAATTTTTAAAATCGTTTTCTTACTTTTTTATAACTAACCTTTTACAGGATCACGGCGTAAACGTTTAATGAGTGTTATCTTTTCGCACTCAGCAAATATTGGATCTGTGATAAGTAACAACAGATTTGTACCGTTAATCGATTGTACTGACCAATCACGATTGCGTTGTTGAGAACATGATATAAGTCCTTGAAATCTATGGTGAAAGCCAGCATTGAATGGTGGATTTATTGTATCATATAGCTCACTATTTAATGAATAATAACGATGCATTAATTTAATGCACTGATATGGTTTATTTTGTGGATCGACATCATCGTTTAGATCACCTGAAACTGTTGAAGAAAATACAAATAACAAGAAAAAAAATATTTATATGTCGTAAATCAACTGTGGGACTTCTGACTTGTAAATATATAAACGTTCAATAATTTAGATGGTCAGGAAATGTATTCCAAGAGGTCATCCACCATCTACACTGATTTACAATCCTGGATGTTACAGGAGGACGTTGAAAAAAATTGCATTAGTCCATGAATTCACTGACTGTTGGCTTGAGCTTTAGGGGAATGTAACTACATCTCAATTAAAGTTAGCACAATAATTGTGACAAATGGTTGGAGACCTTTAAGTAGCATGGCTCAAAATCGGTTACAACAATGCAGACGGATTTATTTTTTGTATTCCCTTGGATCTTGGATTTTCATATTATCACATATCTTCACTTGTTAAGATCTCACTTACCCCTCTTTAAGTATATACTTCTTGTTAAGAATTTCTATGTTACTAAGTTTTACTATTCCTCCTATTGCGATTTTCATCTAGCTAGTTTACTCTCGTGTTGTTACATTTCACGGTTGTTCAACCCAGATACAAGTACATGATCTTCAGAAATACTTACACAATTTATCATGAAAAGATGACTATGAAGCTGTTATTATCAAAGTAAATAAAGTGTACACAAATGAGTGGCATAAATAAATTTGTTCTTCTAACATGGGCAGGGATATATGGACTAAGACTAATCAGTCTCATCCAATGACGTTCTTTGTATACTGGTACAGGAGTTTTTTAAAAAAAGCTGGTGGCAGCTAAACCAAAACGTGATATCAGTATATAAAGTCATTCGTTGTTGAACTGAATTATATTTATAGGTTCATACTACCTAGTCCACCAGATAATCGTGACCAACAATTGAAGACAGTATGTGACATGATTCAGATATCGTCTCTATTGGAGAGATGTATCCACTCTTTACTTTCTCTTAAGATTATTATATACTTCTATCCCGCGAATTCATTCTTTCTTCTACAATTACACTGTTTTCCAATTACCCTGATACTATTAGTATTTTTAAACCTCTGGCATTTATGTTGACAATTTCACCCCAATCTGCTGATATGGTTTGGCGGATTGAACAGATGATCATAGGTATCATGTTCTTTGTTGCGTATAACTGACTGCATTGATCGAGTAAGGGAAACACATATGGTATTATAATGTCAACATGCTTAACAGATGCATATATTTCGTATCAAGTATAAAGGGCTAATATTATTAAATTATATAATAGTCCAGTGTTATGATATTTTCCTGAGGTAGTCTTCATAATGAATGAATTTCAAGTGGGCCTTTACCTCAATGACTGATTGTGTGAGATCGTAGGTCGCGCAATAGAATGAAACAGCTATCCAATGCTCCCTTGATTTACACTGGTATTCCAGCCAACCTCAGTTAGTGTCTTGTTTTTTAACTGATTGTTTTAACATTTTAAAGATGACTCAAACGATCATTTGACTAGTAAACTGAGTGTGAAGTGATCACAATATACTTATTTATTAGTTCTCAGTTTGAAAAATGATTTGTTAATTGATAATTTCTTTTTTACTCTTGAATTTTCATTGTACATCCGATAGCTTTCTAAGTGGGCTGTTTAATAATATCTAACTGTTTTAACTGCATTTGTATTTATAGTACCGTATTTCCAATTGACTCTGGGAAGTACTTGACTGACCGATAAAATCGATCTGAGCTTTGAGGTATTCAAGAGGAAATAAGAATCATTTTTATTTCTTCTTAGTATCGTTAAATATATTGTAGAAAAGAATAATAATATAAGTATTCAACCTAATTGTTAGTAGAATAGACGGAATGTGAATAGCAGTGGAATCAAGAATGCTCATTTTGTCCTCTTCAGGACTCATCAACCGGATGTACCTGAATTCTAGGATTAATGTTCTCATCGAGATTGTAAACTAATGTCTATCGCTTCAAACGTTCAGACGAAAAGAGTATGTCAGATTCAACTGCCACCCATATTCTATTTATTTTGTAAAAAGAACCTGGAACAAATGGCTATATCATAGCAATATGAGCATGATGGACGTATGCAAAAAGACTGATCGAAAATTCAAAAACCGATAGAAACAACGGAATATTCCAAGTAATTATGTTATTAAATTTACCCTAACATTGTTGACATATAATTAACATTTTACACAATTTTCCAAAGTTCCCATCCTATAGATGAAATGAGATATTTATTATCCAAAACTCTTATATTTATAACTACCAATACATTCCAGTGTATGTTTGTTATTTTAATATGAAAAGGCACTTTTTCATGTGCTTCATCATATCAAGTAAACTCTACACTATTTACTGATTTAATACAAAAAATTTCAACAGTTAATCCACAGTTTAGTGCAACAGAGAAAAGGCAAAATCGACAGGAATATTTAAAATTACCTATTACTTTAATTAGTCCCACGATAAATGCTCTAAAATGAAATAAAAATTAAAAACTAAAATTCAGTACATTAGAAATTGGTCATATCGATAAAAAAGTCAATAGGTACAACACTATTGTTAGAGTGCTAGGTAAATAGATAAGTTGGTTGATAAGGTTGTGGATCTTCATCGACTAAGATAGTTGGGAATTGTATGTATGTCGAGCCACCGTGCAAATAGATTCCCTATGTTTGCTGGTGTAGTAAAAGGTTTAAAAAATCTTGAACGTAGAAAAATCAATGAGCGGAATAAGTTCATAGTCATTCACTGCTGGATTGAGATATGTCGATAGATGCAGTCTACCTGCTTGGGGCATGAGCGATCATCTCGACCAATGTCTGAAGACACTGAGTGATATAGTTCAGAATAGTTCTGAATCGTACGAAAGTACTTACTGTTTATCTCCTCATTTATCACAATCTCCAAAATTATAATCTACATTTTTTCCAGCGAAATTCATTCTTTCTTCTCGAATCATACTGTCCACAACTAATTTTTTTAACAGTACTAATACCGCTATTTCTTTTAATACTATAACACTTATCTTGATAATTTCACCTCATTGTGCTGATGTGATGCATCAGCTTGAAATGATACGCTTATGTCTATGTTCTTCGTTGTGCATAGCTGACTGACTAACTTAACTATTGTACAATCGATATATAGAGAATTTGAAAGAAATATTAGTAAACCAAATTGAATTTCTAAACAGTTAAAACAAGTTTCTAAATGTTTTAGTTTGAAATGCTTCTAGGAAATTAAAAAGAACTAGTTAATTTGTGAAGAAACCAGACAATATAATGCTGTGATTGGCGCGGGAGAGAAGGCTAATGTACGCCATATATGACCAGTTTTATATCGTACCACACTGTGATCATACCAATGTAACTATTGTTTTTGATATATTGATTTTAGTTACACCGTTGGATATGAGTGTTTATAGTTACTTGATTCCGCTTACCTCAAGATATAACATCAAACGAATTTTACTTACAAGTCAGATCGGTTAGATTTGTATTTGGTTAAATAGTACTACTTGATCGACATTACTCGATCACCAACAAGTAAGCAGACAAACACATTGACTTTATTTACTTATAGTTAATACTATTCAGTAAATAAACAGTGTATATATTTTACAGTTCATAGACAACTAAACTTACCTGGTGATAAATACACTTACTGAACCGATTGTCAATAATCGATCCAACCAAATACGCACATTGAACAAACTTTGTGTGTACGTAAGGATAGACTATTAAAATGAAAAGAAATTGAGAATAATTGAGGTCAGTTCGTGATCGCGAAAAATGTTCAACAACCTCCACAACTCCCATTCTGATAATCATAAAGTTATGTCAGTCGACTGCTATGTTCGAGCGGTTTGATTGATATAACTTGTTAGATTCACCAATAGGAATTTCGGTAATAATTTTCTTGTAACCAGATCTCTATTGAAGTCAGACATGTTCAACACTAGATGTCAGCTCAGTGGTCTAACAGTTAAATTTTTGCGCGCGAGAATGAATATCCTGGGTTCAGTTCCCGGATGTCGGGCCTTGGACGCCCACTCTTGAGTAGTCTCTTAATGAGGCGAAACTGCTCCTAGGTTTTTAATGGTGGTGTAGCTAAGATTAGTTCATGATTCAATCTATGAAAATCCTACAATTTCCACAAATCTTCTTATACTGATAATCTTTCTACCCCGCATACACTATCGCATCTACACCTCAGCGCCCTTGACCTTGACCAGTAATATACTCTGACTAATACAATTGACTTTACTCCACTTAGTCTACTAATACGTGTCTTTTATTCATGGTCTTTTGTCGGAAGAAAAGGCTACCATCAAGCTTCTACTACGATATTTCAACAAAATAGGCCGGCAGCTATCTTAAGCACTCATTTGCTTAAGATTCAACGGAAATATTAATTCTGATTTAAAATACCCTTCAAAAAACAAACAGTTTTTTAGTTAAAATGATATCAGAGTATTCTACCGGTATTGGGTGTATTCCAGGAGAAGTCGTCTCAAGCATGTCTTCTCTCGGATAACATGTACCTTCGAAATCATAATCTTTCAGACTAAATTCAATATGAAATGGACAAATGGATTTGAAAAAAAAAAAAAGAAGTTTCATTACTATAAAGTTAAACATTCTACATGTTAATAATTAAAAATGTAATCTGTTCTCAAAGGTTAGTGTAAAATTTTACCTAGCAGCGATTTCAGAAATATTAGTTAAAAATCAATTTTTTCTTGAGTTATACCTTAATGGTTTGCATCAAAAGAATAAAATCGAAGTGGATCAGAGTATTTTGATAATAAACTACTGAAAACTGGCTACCGATAATAAAAATAGTTAGATTGACATGCAACTTGAACTACGTGTAGATAGCCTCTGTTTTATGAAGATTTCTAGTTAATATTAAGTAATTGAACCATTCTAAGTTTATGATGTTAGTAAGGGTTTGTTATCGCCCGCTGTTGATATTCAGAACTGCAGCAATAAGCACTTGTTTCGAGTCTCTCAGTCTGAACATCAACACTGGGATCCAATTACATTCAATTAAAACAAGTTTCAAATATGACGGAATCCACGTTCTGGATTTTACTCTTAGCCATTTATCAGATATACAAAGTTCATGATGCCGTATCAAAACACCTTGTAGTGAATATATTAATAGCCAGATGATTTTTTGTAAGGAGAAAAGTAGTTAAACGTTATTTATCGACTCGAGAAGGTGAACACGCAAGATTGACTGTGTAGAATGTCCCACTAATTACTTTCGTTAACCTATTTTTCAGAGTATCACTAGCCACATCCACCAGCGATGTTCACTCAGACGAAGGATAAGTTACCTGAGTTGGCCTCCTCAATGTGCATTTACAAATTCAGCTGTTTCTGTGGAGATAGCTATTCCGGGCGTACTACCAGGCAGCTTAACCAACGAATGAGTCAACATCTGTCAGCTTGGTTTATAAAGGGCCAGACAAAAACAATGCGCAGTTCTATCTTGGCACATCTTATTGATAGCGGTCATAGTATAGATAAATCGGAAGCATTTCGAGTGATCTATCGTATTCCTCCATCACTTCCCAACGGAGTTCGTTCCCATCTCCTACATATGGCTGAAGCCACAGGAATTCGTACATATAACCCCAATTTGTATGTACAGAGTAACTTCGTAAACCCCCTAACCCCTCCGTGGCCAGTCATAACTTAACAAACGACCCTTTATTTTATTTTTGTTATCATTAACCTTATTTTCGCATCCAGTATTTGCCTGTAATTTTGCCTCTTTCCGTTTGTATTCTTCACTATCTAATTATTTACTCACCTCTTATTACGTAATGGTTTTAACGTTTTGTGATGAATATTCTAATTTTAACGCTTGTCCAACATATTTCAGTTCTTGGCCTTAATAAGATGAGATATTATTCGGGTAACAAATATTTCTTTTATCAGAAAGGGGTTTTGTGAAGATTTTAGAAATTTCAATAGTTGAAATCATGAGTCGATTGAAGCTTGACCACCATGGAAAACCTGCCAGCACTGGACGGCCGTTTCGTTCTAGTATGGGAATCCTCAGCCGGCTCAGTGGTCTAATGGTTAAGTGCTTGCGCGAGAGACTGATGGGTCCTGAGTTCGAATCTCGCGAGGTGCGGGATCGTGGATGCGCACTGCTGTGGATTCCTATACTAGGACGAAACGGCCATTCAGTCCTTCCAGGTTCTCCATGGTGGTCTAACTTCAATTGACTCATGAATTCAACTATTAAAAATATTTCTCTACCAGGGACTTTAGGAAATCTCTTATATAAGTAATGGGACAAACATTACTTACTTACTTACGCCTGTTACTCCTCGTGAAGGAGCATAGGCCGCTCACCAGCATAAGGGACAAAACATTGAAGCTACAGAATTTGAGAAGACTTGGTACAGTTGATAAACCGATCAAGTTTCAAGCTTAAATAATTAGATATCATTTCAGCATGACTAATAACTCTGTCTATTTAGATGTACAGTGTTGGTAGGAGTAGGATAATCACCACAATTCATGAATTCACTAGTCAATGGTCTGCTATTATTATTACTATTACCGTTAATATTATTATTATTATTATTATTATTATTGTTATTATTATTATCGTTAGGAGCCTACCCGTGATATATTTGTCTTGTAAAATCTGAACACTAATCTCATATTCTATTTTACACCACGGACTAACCTCAGTTCAACAATCATCCATAAATCCCTTACACTATTAATTTACTATTCAGATTCATCCAACTAATTTACTTGTTTTCACTGAGCTAAACATCTGAAAAAAGAATAACAACAATCCATCTGTATCAGAAATCTAGTCAAATTGTGGTGTGCGCTGTATATGCGGACAGATATAAGCAGTATGTAGCAGGAATTGGAAGTGGAGCGTTTACCAGAAGAAGGTTGAAATAAATAGAACAGGAAAGAAGTCGAAAAGCGGTCGAAATAACAACAGAATTAGAAGAATGATGGAGTATTTAAAGGACAAATGAAGGAAGATTCTCAAATAATGTATTAAACGTATGATTTTTATATTTAAAAACGCAGTGTTATTTGACTTAAGACAATAAATTGGTATACCATACCTGAGTTTTTGTTCATTTTTTCTTGATACGGAAAAATCTTAGTTTAAACGATTGCCTCCAACTGCCTAACATCCTTGGTTTCTACTCCCAGTTATCACAGAATGTTATTATTATTCCGTACAACAACTGGTTGATTTTTTTGAAGTACAATGGTTAGTACATTTGTGAAATAGTATAAAATATTAAAATAAAAGAAAACCTGTGAAAACAACTTACACTCCATAAACATGATTCTGAACCAAAGAATTCATTAGATCTGGATCAATATGTCCAAGGAATTGACCTATCTGTAATATAAAGAAAGGTAAAATATTTATATTTTATCCACCTTAAACATATAACTAGTTGTAATATTAAGTTTATGAGATATTTGTTGTTTATAGGTAAGCTGCAGAAAAGGAAGAAGCATAAGAACACTTCGAGATATAACCAGATGAACAGAAAATATTATGAAAGGTTTGTGGAGAACATTAAATGTGACAATTTACACCACTGACTGACATAAGTTGGTTAGGCTGAACACTAGCTTCGAATCTGAAAATCTTGGGTTCTATCCGCGGTGGGGTCGAGGGTTTAGTGGCCCTATATCTGACTTCAATTAGATCGTTTGTGATTGTTATTGAAATATGAATGTCGCCAATCGACTTAACTTGCATTAGTGAATAATAGAATTAAATAAGTCTAATACGAGGATGGATTTTTAAATACGTGTATTTCGTAAAATCGTTGATCGGAAAGCGAAGCAAAACAAAATGACGCTCAATGGAGAAGGCGAGTGAGTCAATTCATTTTAGCCAAGCGTGAATCAATATTTATGGTCGAACAAAAATAAGTTACAGACATGTGATGAATAGGATAAGAAGTGCACTCACGCTCATATGAAACAGTCAAAGTTGATAAGCAAACAATTAACAAGGTCAAATGTCACTCAGGAACAATGAATAAACTGGTCTGTCCGAAAGCTAGAATAAGTTCTGTGGACTTAACATAGCAACCGACACTACAAGCGTGTGCAATCCTGACGATTCCCGTACCAGGACGAAATAGCTGGATTGTGTTCACTCGTTTTTTACTTGTTATCTAAGATTGGTCCGGGATGTATTATATTCAACATTCTACGCGAACACCTCATACTGATAATGATCAAGTGTTTACAAGTAAAAAACTTCAAGTTATTACCGGAGTTCTAATAAGAAAACGTAACCAGTGAAGTTTAACCATATCACAAGTGATATAGCTTCTCACTAATTGCCTCGATAGAAGGTCACGTAATATCATCAACAAAAACTAATTGACGAAATATTCTGTTTATACACTAAGCTCTGTGTTATAACAGGCCGAGTATTGGAGGAGTCGAATTTTCAAAACTGTCCTACCTAAAACTCACATTTATTTTTGTCCTTTAATTATTAAGTACTTATATTATCGTATTTCTGCATTATATTACTTGTAAGCTTTTCCATGATCCACTGTTAATGTGTACTGTACCTTTCTTAAGTTACTGTTAGTTTATTACGGACTTATTATTTAGTTGGCTTCCCCTCATGATGTTATTGTAATTTCTTAATTATACTGATGTGTCGTAACGATTGTACTTTAAATTATTGTGTGCGTTTTGAATCATAATTGAATAGCGTACAACAAAAACTGGCTAATTATTTCTCTTTGCCGTCTAGGAAAAGGATGGAGAAAGGCTTGAGTATAGAGTATGAATAGGAGCTTAGCTTATGTCTGCTCAAGGTTAATGGTGCAGGTCAGACGTATAACCGGTCAAGTCTAGGAAAATAGGCAACAGAAGAAACGGTAGATGTGTCATAAAAAAATCGCGATTAGAAGTCACATTGGTAACTATAACACGTGATACCGACCATCGATTTCAAGCCATAATAAGGTGTCTACAACTGTTTAGTACATCGCGTTGCGCCTCTACTTTCTTCAGAAAATTTCAAAAAAAACGATAAAAAGGACAATGGATTGTTGTCAAAGTTTACCATATTACTCAAATTACAAACTCTATTGACTTAATGGGTGATCACTAAAAAACGTTCAAATAGTTTAGAACATTAGCGATGAATTACACTACCAACTAAAGGAATCAAAAGGTAGGCATTAGTTATTTGACGTTTGCTTACAACTGTCTAGAAACATTTGAAATTTCACATCGTAAACTGATTTTGGTCAGAAGAATATCGAAAACCAGAAAACATTAGGCAATGGTTTCGTTCAAGAACGGGACTCCTCAACAGTGACCATCCACGGACCCGAAGTTAATCGAATCTAGGACTTTCAAGCCTGAAAAAATACTTGAGACATAGATTACGATGCTTGTTACCATTTTGCATACGCTAGGTTTTTTCTAAAATTTTGAAATAATCATGAAAGCCATGCTAGGTTTAAACTTGGTATCCTTCAAACCAGCAAACAAAGATGGTATTACTGAGTTATTTGGACAATAGATTATTGTTTCTAAGTTTGATTACGTGAAATATCAGTCACAAAAACGATATCCTTTTTTAAAAAATTAATATCAAAGTTACATGAAAAAGTTTTCTAGGTATTTAAGGACTCGTCATAATAATGATCAATATTATATAATATATCACAGACTATATACAGTGATAGATCACTGAGTAGTGACCAATTTTATATTTTTCTAGTCCTATAGTTCCGATGGAATTCCATCAACAAAGTTGTGATATGGCCTCCAATTTAGGTGACTTAATGTTCCAGGTTCGAATCCCACTGGTAGTATTGGTTCCCTCAAGGTTTCAAGTTCAGCCTAACACAAAACCTAGATTCCAGAATTGCTATTGATGGTTTTCGACCGCTGTTCATCGTATATGATACAAATTATTCAATATGATCAATCTTAGAATCAATCACATGTATGAACAACAATGAGTAACTTGAAACAAAGATTGAACAACAATATGTTGTACAAATTGTTATGACTTTATGTCCGGCTTTTTATCACGCGATTTATCCACCAATCAAAATACGACTTATACAATCTTAGCACCGTACCAAACCAATGACGTTCGACCGGTATGGGCAGTCTAGTGTCCTTATTGGTCCTATGTCTTCCTAGTCCGTCCATTTGAGTCCAGAACACCAATGCCAGCTTCCACTATGTGAATCGAATCGAATCATTTATTTCAGACATACTGGGTTTATATATCAATCAAACAGACCGCAACGCACCATAAAATAGGAAATAATATTTGTACACAATAAAGCCAAAAAGTGGCTGTGAACGTGGGAGGCAGTAGTCAATAAACTGAACATAGCTTAAGAACAGTAAATCGTATAATGATAAATTATAGGTCAGAATGAGGCTTATAATAAGAGGAATATAAATATACATAGTCTAGTTACTGAATAGTTATACAATAGGAATATATAGATAATATTAGTCCATTACTAGGTCTCAGACGTCACTCGTACTTTAATCTTCACTAGGATATAACACAAATGATTTTCTTTGTTAACTATTAATATAATGAAATTAAGCATCAAACATTTGAACAGAAAAATGAGGACTAAAGTGTAAAATAAACGGAGAATACTGGTGCAGTGAATCATTTAGATATCGACCAGATGGTAAGTATAAGATAAGACCAAAAGTTTTTTTCATTTATTACGGGACGAGACACATTCCATTTGGTTAGACACGTGAGTTGAATATCTAAGCAACAAATATGCAAAAATTGGTTTAACCAATAAAGCATCATTCTCAGTCAATCAATTCATGCAGTCGCTTGGGCATGCATATGGAAAGCTTGTGCATATCGGTATCAGAATCAGCCTAGCTTACGATCGGTATCAGAATAGACATGGTAAAACACAAATAATATGTAAACATATATTCAGATTTACCTGATAATATAATAATTTGTTGTTCACAGCAATTATGTTAGCTGCATCTTCTAATAAATAACATAATTTGTTCGATTGTGTAACTGAACATTCTGGAATCATATTTAACTGTTCAGATAAATAATCTGGTTCCAGAGTTATACCCATAACTATGATATATTGTTTTATACATATAAGGAATATAAAATGTAAATAACAGACTAAAAGTGAGACATGTCAATTTTAAACAACGTTGATACTTAATTGTGGCGAAATTTCTGATAATTTAAAGAAAGATTTGGTATATCATAGAAAAATATAGAAAATCAAGAGAACATTCAATAGACTCCACAACAGTGAACATCTATGAACTTTCAAAAGAAAGGAAATTAAGGTTATTAGGTCAAGCCTATGGTACAATATTTCTGGGCCATTGTGATTTAGAATCCAATAATTCACAATAAAGCATATACTGTAATAATCTGAGTTAATTCAAACAAGTCTCTTGTTTTTGTAAAAAGTCAGACAAATCACATGGTATCATAAGGCCGCAAGGTAGGTGAAACGACGGGATAAAGAAGCAAAATTACGTTTTTTGTTCAACGTGATACTTGTTTGTCATTACTTCCGCTTTTAATTCAATATGCTAACTACTCAGTGTAATAATTAATTTCAGTGTGATATTTTATTCAATATAACACTGATTTATATCCCTTTAATGTTTATTCAAGATATAATGTTCCTTGTATTATTACTTATTTATTTATTTATTTTAACACATAGATATTGGTACAAGGAGGCACCAAATACATATGCGCCACACAGATCTCATTTGATATGTGTGAGGGCTGGAATTCTGTCCGGGTGCGTGGGCCGAAACAGGTGGTTTTCGTAGGGGGCCACACCCGGAACCTTCGACCTAAAGGTCTGATCCACAAGGCAGCGGAGCAACGTAAGGAGATGCAGTCCCATGGTAGCCGGTGACCAAAGATTGGTTCCTACGCCATTTGTTCCTTCAGGATACTATAGCCCATATGCACCATTGGTTTGGAATCAGGGTTTTCCAATGCCCCTAGGTGGACTCTCCATGTCCACCAACCCGGTCGAAGCGCCAGACGTTCGCTTTTCGTCCCCTCAATTTCGTAAACAACAACCCCGCAGTGAGTAGGACTTCCCTGGTAGATACTATATACTCGTGGCTATGTGAGAGCATTTCGAGAGGGAGAGCGGACTCTCCCCACTCTCAGCCATACCACGGCATTTGGGGGCACTTTGTATTCAATTAACGTGAACTATGTTCAGCATAAAATGCAACATGCGATCTTGTTATAATTTGATCTATGTGATCTTTTTGTAAATAATAATCTAATGGGTATACAAACCAATATATAAAAGAGTTCATTTTCGACTAGGACCGTCAGATTTTCGGGATGAACAAATCTTTAATTGTACCAGTTTTTGAGCCTTTACATTGCTTCGTGGGGATTGTAGTAGTTTCTCGATTTCATATATAAATAATAGTGGAAATAGATAAAACATTCGATAAGAATGTTAAGATAAAGCATATTTACAAACATGGGACTCTTGGAATGACCTTGAGAAAGTTCTAATCCATTTAACCAATACGAGAACTGTGAATATGAGTGAATGAATTGTGATACAAAGTTGAAGAATTTAATGTAGAATACATTATCTTTTACACTACTGATAAACAGTCAAAATACATTAAAGTTCATTTTGTCATGATTTCAAAGTTGTTTATACAGATACACTTTATTTCCAAACTCTTATCTAAACTTAAAGCAACAACCAACTTTGTTAAGAAATATCACCCCATCTCGACAATCCTTATAACTACTGACACTACTGAGTTTCCCCATTTTCTCAAATGAGAGCTTTCTCAATAATTCAACTTGTAGTACGTATTTGTCAATGTTTTTTTCACTGAGGTTAATTACCATACGGTAGATAGCTCATACCTTGGTTTTCTGTAGGTACTAAGACACTGAAGTTGCTTTTTCAATTTTAACTGGTTTACAAGTACTAGAAATCCTACTGGAATAATTGTATTATGCGTCTGGTCAAGGTCATAGATGACATGTACCTATCTAGGTCAATGATTACACGTATGGTTATAATCATGAATACTGTACATATTCACCCTGTTTTTTAGGACAAAGCTTCCTACCATTTTCAGTTTTATTAGCATTCCACAGCTAGTTGGGTCACTCGTGGCAAGATTGAAATCCACAAGTCACAGCTTTTCATTAAAGCATCAGTAAAAAACAATAGTCAAATATTTTCTGGTCAAATACTTCGCTTATACCCGACGTTTATGTTGATGATGTTGTACAGGAAAACGATGAAAAATCCATGACTAAACTATTCAGGTCAGAGGACAAAACTCCAGCAAAATCATTCACCTGAGATACAAATTTTCTCCACCACCTCAATTATAAAATACCCTGTTAACTCTTCAATTTCAATAGTGACCAGAAGTAGGATTTCAGAGAACGGATTTTATCTCATCTTAGAATTCATTAGGTGGATGAACTTTTAACACATTATTGACGCTATTACTGGAACTCAAACCGAAAAGACACATCTGCTCTGAGCACAAATACTTTATAGTCTTGGTAAATAGGTCAGGATAGCTATCTATTTGTTTAGATTTTCTTCTGGTTAATATTTCAAGTATTTGGGAAGAAATGATTGACTGAAATATCTATCTGCCGCTTACTAAGTATTCTCACCGAAAAATAAACATATTTAATATATCCAATCTCTTTTAAAATCATTTTATGAAATATTTTTGAGGATTTGATTAACTTGAAGCTAATGAAGTCTTCACAGAAATGAACCATAAATGATCCTTTACTATTTCTGATATATTATGCTAGAACTGATCAATTTTATTTTCGATTATTACCTGTCCAATCCAACCTCTCACTTAACATGTTCAATATCTGTCCAATAAATAAGTAACATAAACTAAGTTTCTTGTTGAAGTTGTGAAAAACTCTTGAGAAATTCACAAAATGTTGACTACTGTATATGAAAATAAGAGATTAAAAAGTGGTTCGTTTAAAATAATACAGAGTTCTACTAGATATGAAGACTTTGAAGATAATGTCAGTCTAAGAAGACAATCAATCTAATTTGCGGGTGAAAACATCTGACGTGTCTAGCGTTTTATCACATCCGACTATCGACAAACTGTATCCCGAAAAATTGTCTAAGTATATAGTTCTAACAAAACATTTTTCGGTTGAAAAAATGAGTGACGAGTCTGGTATAGATAACTTCTAAGAATGTTTAGGAACATTTGAATAATATAGTGAAGCAAATGACCTTATTTCGCCTATTCATAAAACAGATTTAATATTAATCTTACCTCCAGCTTTATAGACATTTGGTCCTTGTGTAATTGTAATCGATGTAAATATAGTCACTGGTAATGCAGTATTATCTTGACTATTCATCACAGTTTGATTTATTAATTCCACATTTTCAATAGATTCATCTTCACTAACTGTTGGTAATGATTCATCAAAATATTCATCAATTTCAATATGTGAATGTTTATGATCATCTATCACCTTATCCCTGTTGCGAATATTTTTACTACCGTCAACTTGATTCACATTTTGCTCTTCCTCGGTATTATTTATTGTTGACTTTGTTGTTGTTGGTGTTATCTGTAACTGATTTTCACTGGTTTGTGCAGTAATATTAATGGTTTCATTGTCAATTATTTGTTTAGTGTTACTTTGTAATAAAGAATTACTATTGTCTTCTGTGACGACCGGATTTCCTCTTGGTTTAGTAGAATCTACAAAAGACAGTTTTAAAAGAAACTAGAATCACTATCAGTATTTCTGGGTGGCTTTTATCAAACATTATGATCACTAGACATGTTTTATTACAGTAAAGGATCTCCAGCAGTACATACTAACGACCGCCCGATGAATCGAATCCAGAACCTTCCGTTTTCGAGGCAACTGCTTAGTTCAAGTTGTTACTGAGTTGAAATGATCTAAGGACTCAAGTTCAACTAATTCAGGATGTAACATAACAATAAGTTAGTGCTCTCAATGGTGGCTGCTATTCCGTTCTCCGCTGAAATTCGTGTTTTAATTTTAATGTTTAAATGGGAATTATCTGTCACTGTATCATTTGTCTATCCATTGTAACTCAGACACTTAATTCATCATGTTAATTTCTGTGTGCATTTCAGACTCCTAATTCACTATGTTAATTTCGGTTATGTCTGTACATTAACCCTTAAGCTATCCTCCTATTGGTTGCAATGTGCAGATAATCGATAATTTATCCACACCCGATTAACTCTCAAAAATATATATATGGACTTTAAACACACACACACACACACTTTGTTTCATCGTGTGCTTGCTCGCTGTACGCTTGCGGATTTTTATTAATCATTAACAATAAATTATCTCTACAACTGGTGTTCAGGCTTCTCAATAATCTCGAGTAAATCCGTAATTCTACTAGGAGATTAAGCCTACCTTAAATACTCAGTTTACGGGATATTATTTATTGGAGTCAGATATTGAGGACATTAGCCTCAACATATTGGTTAGCCGCCGTTACAACATATTGGTGACCCTCCTTTAAAACGCGCACCGTTTTCCTACAAAGTCCGCTGAATTCTCCTCAAGCGTATCATAAAGAACTTCATATTGGAATTATGATTATAATTAATAACAATTCATTGACAGTCATAATAAATTCAGTCAGTCAGTTAGCTACAACGTAGGACCAGGCACATATATGCATCGGTCCAGGTTGCCATACCTCATTAGCACAGCAAGATGAACACCGGATTCATAGGAGTGGTTAGGTCAAGGGTGGTAGTATACAGGAGAAAGATTGCATATAAGGATACAGTACAGGAAGGAAGAATTAGTTAGTAGAATGAAAGATATGATGTGATTTTAATCTCTTAATTTAAGAGAAGACAGAGAGTGTATACACAGACGCCATTGTGACCGATTCTGAGCCATGTCACCAAGAGTCTCCAACCATCGGTTACGAAAGTCACGCGGACCCCAACCAAGTAGTCTGCATCTACCAACATGGCTCAGACTAGAGATTAGTGTCTTCAAGCACTGATGCCACGTTTTGGTTTGGCCGCCCCTAATTCTCTTCCAACCATCCCCAACACCGGTTAGCATTGCACGTCGTGGTAATCGGTGTTCAGGCATACGTAACACGTGGCCCAACCATCTCAGTCGATGAATATTAACAACCTCATCAACTGATTTACCATCATTCCCTAATACCCTGCGTCTAACCTCACTATTACTTACCCGGTGATCCCAGCAGATGCAAGCAATATTTCTAAGGCATCTGTGGTCAAATTCAAGTAGCTTACGAGTATGTTCTACTCTTAATGGCCATGTTTCGCTGCCGTAAATTAAAACAGAACGAACTGCCGCATAGTATACTCGTCCTTTTATTGATAGACGGATATCTCGTCTTCGCCATAGGTGACGTAAGTTGGCAAAAGCCAAACGAGCTTTTCGAATCCGTGCTGAGATTTCGTCCGATACCAACCCATTAGGGCTGATCAGACTTCCAAGATAAGTGAAGTTGTCAACGCGTTCGACTACTTCACTCCCTATCCTTAGTTCAGGTGTTGACGCAGACCAGTCCTGAAGCAACAACTTGCATTTAGAGGGAGAGAAGCGCATTCCAAACATTCTGGCATTGTTGCTTAGTGCTACCAAAAGACTGCATTTTGTCAGCGTCTTCACCAAACAGGACTATGTCATCTGCATATTCTAAGTCGATAAGTGGACCTCCTGGAAGGAGATCAATACCCGAGAATTCAGTCGACGAGAGCATTATTTCCATCAATAGGTCTATGATGAAGTTAAACAAAAATGGAGAAAGTGGACAGCCTTGACGGACACCACTTGAGGTTGCAAAAGCAGATGACAGTTCGCCATAAGCCCTGACTCGACTAGTAGTGTTCGAGTAAAGAGCCTTCACAAGGTTTATGTACTTCTGAGGTACGCCTTTCAATGACAGACACTGCCACAGAATCTCGCGGTCTACCGAGTCAAATGCTGCTTTTAAGTCAAGAAAGACCACCATTGTCGGACGCCGATAAGTATGCCTGTGTTCTAGAACCTGACGAATGGTGAATATGTGGTCGATGCAGCCACGACCAGGTCTGAAGCCAGCTTGGTTCTCTCGTGTTTGCAGTTCACGAGTCTTAGTTAGGCGTCTGATAATTATCGAGGCTAGTATTTTAGATATTATATTAGTTAAACTAATCTCTCTGTGGTTGTCACAGGATGATTTTGACCCTCTCTTATATATTGGGACGATAAGTGATTGCGACCAGTCAGATGGAATAACGTCTAACTCCCAGATCTTAGCTAAAATATTAGTCAACCTAATCGCTAAAATTGGACCACCATCCTTAAAGACTTCTGGAGCCAATCCATCTGGACCAGCTGCCCTTCCTCGTTTCAGATTAACTATAGCCTTTTGAACTTCTGCTAGGATTGGGGGACCTACTTCAATGTTCCATTCACATTGACGTCACTGCTGTTTCCACAGCTGATTGTATGCCTTTCCAAGCAACATCTGGGTCAGCCTCGTTTTCAGAACTACCTAAGTGTGACCTCAGTTGATCCTGGAATCTACTTTTGGCCTTCTCGTCACTAAGTCCAACTAGTAGGTCTTCTGAGTATGGTTTTTCTGCGTCCATTGAGGCGCAAGCAGATGCGTGCTCGTATTAAAGCATGGTCGGGGTCCAAGCAGGTATTTCAGAATGAGCAACAATCTTCTATCGACCCTCTCCAACTATGACTGATGGCAATATGGTCTATTTGAGTCCATCGTTGGTTTGGTGCAGGGGGTCGCCATGTTAGACGATGTCTCTCCTTATTCTTAAAATTTGTGTTTGGTAAAAATGAACGATTGTCTGAGCACAGTTGCAGCAGACGATCACCATTATCTGTTCGCTGTGCCGGGATACTAAAATACCTACTTAGATGTCTTTCTGTTTGGTTTAAGCTACCTACGTGGGCATTAAAGTCATCTGCTACGAGTATTATGTCTGAGCGTTTAGCTTTCTGAAGAAGTTTAGAAAGCTTTCTGTAAAATTCATCTTTCAATTCATCCAGGCCGCAGTCAGTGAGGGAGTAGGCAGAAACAAAGAAAAGGCAACGACGTGTGTCTCTATCCTTCCGAGTTCTTACGGAGCTGTTTAGCCGAACACCACATAGGCGACTATTAGCGGGGATCCACTCTAACAGTGCTTGTTCCGCCCTCATGCTTGGTGCTATGCCTACTCCTGCCAGTCCACAAGAGCTGGCCTTCGGGTCACCAGATACACGGAGGGTGTATCTCTTTGGCTCTCCCTTTTGTCGAGGTGAGGTCAAGTGAATGACCACACTGGGATCCTGTATGCGTGTTTCGGAGACACAGCATACATCAATGGTACGAGATTCTAGGGTTTTAGCCAAGGAAGCCTGATGACCGATTTGACATAGGGTGCGTACATTGAAGGCTCCAATGTGTAGTGTGGAGTGAGGTTTCAGTAGACCTGGGACAGTGTTTTGAGCACTAGAATCGTCGGCTATGGTGACGCTTGAGGGGGAAGCCGAAAAAAGAAGTTTAGAGTTTGAAGTTGATATAGGAGGAATAATAGGAATTGGCATGGCTCAGAATCGGTCACAATGGCGTCTGTGTATACACTCTCTGTCTTCTCTTAAACTAATAGATTAAAATTGCTTCATATCTTTCTTTCTACGAACTAATTCTTTCTTCCTGTACTGTATCCTTATTGCAATCTTTCTTTTATATATTACCACCTCTGAATTAACCACTTATATGAATCCGGTGTTCATCTTGTTGTGTTAATGAGGTATGGCAACCTGGACCGATGCATATACGTGCCTGGTCCTACGTTGTAGCTGACTGACTGACTGATAGGAATTGAAGAGGGAGGTCGATTAGGAATACAGTGGTCTTGAGTGCTGTTAGAGGTATGAGGGCGGTTATCACTTACCGGTTGCCCACACTTAGGAAGGGTTGTTCTGAAGGCACCTGAAAAGGAAATTGGATTAGAGGTGGTCTCAGTGACCTGAGAGCGTGACCGCAGTGCCCAAGGGACAACTGCTCAAGGCCGGTCGCGCACGGCCTTTTTGTGGAAGGTTTTTGATTTGTTAGCTCCGTTCTTCAAAGGGCCTTACCGCCGGAGACGGATATCCGTGGGATAAGGCGAGGTGTGCATTTTTAGGGTCGACCTTTTCTAACCCCACCCCTCCTTGTGAGAAGGCAGCATCGCTGTAATGCTGGTTGTCTGAAGGATACACCTTACTGCTGTCACACGTCTGTACAGTCAGCAGTACAACTTCGCCTTCGGACCTTGGGTTTGTCGCTTTTAGTCTTACCGCTCTTCAACCGACCTTTCTGACGTGGTAGGATCTTGAGGAACAGTTGTTCCAGTCAGTATAGCTCGGTTGCTTCATCACGATAGGCAAGTCCGACCACCACGTCAAGGTAGCAACAACGGTCAGGATAATAAATTCACTCATAACATTGTCCCTTTGGAATTATTACTGTATATTCTCATATTTATACCGAAAGTGACAGTTTTTCTTTTCGGTGAGTCTTATATATATTTTTTGTTGTTATTTTCTGATTTCTTCATATTGTATACTTCAAACCTCAGCTTATTATTATTATTATTATTATTGCTCCTTAGTACCATGTCAGTTGATAATTCGCTAAGTTTATCATCTAAATCTATTTCCGTGGGTCCCATTTCTGTACCTTTACCTATTTTTAATCCACGAAAGACTGAACTCTGGTTTGCTCGCTCAGAAATCTTTTTTGTTGCAAACAAAATCACAAATCAGAGTACGAAATTTAGTTACGCAAACTCACTGATGCCGGACGACGTCATTGAACAAGTGCCTGATTTCATTTTTAAGCCGGATCCTGATTCACCATTCGACTGTCTAAAAAGAGTGGTCATTCGTGTCACATCTCTCACCGACCAACAGACAATTGATCAACTTTTAGCCAACGTGGAGCTAGGTGACAATACACCATCACAGTTAAAACGCCACATGACAAACTTATTAGGAAATCGTACAGTAGACAGATGTCTATTATATCAATTGTGGCTCAGACGTCCCCCTCAACATTCAATTGGAGACGAAGACGTCGATTTTGATAGGCTATCAGACATAGCTGACAGAATTTACGAACGGTCTAAGACTCACCCTGTATCTCAAATCCAATCACGCTCAACTGACGAGATCGCCGAGTTACGACGATCACTTGATACCCTTACCAAACAGATAGCTCAGATCCAATTATTGAATGCCTCCCACAGTAAGTGTAGAGGAACAGCCAGAAGCCGTAGACGTCGTAGTCCAAGCACTACTAGACACAATATTTGTTGGTACCATAGAACATACGGCAAACAAGCTAGAAAATGTACTCCGCCTTGTAACTTTGCAAGCACACAGAAAAAGGAACGTCAAGACCGCCAGTTAATGACGACTGCACTCACTGACCACAACTCTCAAGACAGCCGTCTATTATATGTTACAGACAAAAGAACCGGCACACAGTTTTTAGTCGACACTGGGGCAGAGGTTAGTGTAGTACCACCCACTGCACTCGAGAAAAACACACCTGACCCCAAACTAAAACTACAAGCAGAAAACAGGCTGACATCAAGACGTATGGCAAAAGGCGGTTACAATTAAATTTCGGTCCTAAATCTAATTTTTCATGGAGTTTCATCATAACAGACGTCCTCGTTCCTATAATCGGCATTTGTTTTCTGCAATTCCACAAAATACTGGTAGACGTCAGAAATAGGAAACTTGTCCTTGCCGAACAGAGTAAGGAAATTAGAGGAATTATATCAAATGAGACTTCCATACATTTATAATTTAAACCTCATCACGAGAACGACAAATACGTCAATTTACTTAATCAGTTTCCAGACTTATTACGACCGAGTTTCAAACACGACAAACCAACGCATACCGTCGTACAGCATATAAAGACAGAAGGTCCACCAGTGTCCGCACGTCCGTTCGTTCGCCATATGCGGTACTCAAAAGCTGGTCGCCCTCAACGCCCACAGCAGACATCTAGCACCCCTGTAGCATCAGTGAACCGTGGCATACCTGGCCCCAAAAATTCAGAACAAATGTGCTCTCCAACCAACTTATGGGGTCCAAGTGACATCAGTCAGGCTGCAAACTTGGGTCGCATGACAACTCATGGTCGTTCGGCCCCGGGGAAGCTTAACAACGTGCCTTACCTGATTCCTATTCCACTCCATGGGTCAGTACCCCAGACTTCTCTCTCCTCAACTTCATTTCTGTCAGCTGTTGGATATCCGCTCTTGATGATATATCCGACGGGACGTTTATCAGCACCAGCGACATCAGGAGTTTTTGATCCTGTTTGCGATTATTCGGTTACCTGTCAAACATCACAATCATCATCAGCTGGTGTTCCAAGTGTATCGCAACAACGGTCAACTGATTCATCAAAATCTAACCGTATAAAACCGTCTAAACCTGCAGCAGAGCAAGCACCATTCAAACTACCTGCAACAAACAATGATTCACATCAAAATTCAGCAGCAGCAGATACTACAACAAGAACAGGAAGAAGAGTACACTGGCCAGATAGGTATGTAGCAACCACCATATTTATCTGGACCGAATCCTGAGATTGCTCTCATAACACAAAAATCCTTCTTTATTTTCATTACTATTTTTTTTATTGGCCCCACGGATCATCATTATACTTACATTTAAGCTTTATACAATTCGTTAATGTTAAATATACACTTGTATATACATGATATGAAACGTTTCAACACACAAGCTGTTATTACAATTTAACGCTTACTCATCATATCGAGTTGTATTTTTATTTTAAAAACAATTCCGTTCTTTATCTCTTTGTCGAACATAGATGTTAATACAATTTTTTTTGGTACATAAAAACATCAATGTTCTGGATGGGAGCTTATGTAGCAAGCCCATTTGACCACTGTATCATTTAAAATTAAAACACGAATTTCAGCGAAGGGATCTCTTTCAACGAATTTATTATCAAGCTGTACAATCGTATATATATGAAAATTTGTTTTTGTTAAAGTACTAATTCCGTGAGGAAATGGGAACACAGTTAATAAAAAGGTTATAATACTAGATTACGTAATATGAATAATAATAATAACAATAGATTTAGTGAATATAATAAGGCCAGTAGGTCCTGGGTTCGAGCCCCGCGTGGTGCGGGATCGTGGATGCGCACTGCTGAGGAGTCCCATACTAGGACGAAACGGCCGTCCAGTGCTTCCAGGTTTTCAATGGTGGTCTAGCTTCAACTGACTCATGATTTCAATCTGTGAAAATTTCTAAAAATCTCCACAAACCCCTTCTGATAATCATTAACAATAAATTATCTCTACAACTGGTGTTCAGGCTTCTCAATAATCTCGAGTAAATCCGTAATTCTACTAGGAGATTAAGCCTACCTTAAATACTCAGTTTACGGGATATTATTTATTGGAGTCAGATATTGAGGATATTAGCGTCAACACGTCCTACCAATTACCTCCTATGAAAAATTGAACAGGAAGAAAGGAAAAGTTGCTCTTAAACTTGGTTGATGGTTACAATGATTCTATTCAGAAAAGTTAGGATACCTTGATTCCGCAAAAGCTTCAGGATCATGAGGTTAAAAATGACTTATGTATCTAACTCGGTTATTGGGTACTAACAGATGAAATCTGAAGATGTTACTTTGAATCAAACTCCTGGTTGACTCCGCTGCAGATGATACCCCAAGAAAACCATCAAATTCCACTGGGACAACTGGGGACTCTCTTATCACACACCATACATAAATATGATCCATTGATTAAAACCTTATTGTTCCGAGCCGCGAAAACTTGTACAAACGTTTCCTTGTGTTACTACATATCACGAACACTACACTGTCATCAAATTCGTAGTTGAAAAACTATGACGAGTAATTTTGACAGAAAGTAATATTACGCAAAGTAAGGCTGTAATGAATCTCATTTTCAAAATAAACATAAGAATTTCAGTATAACTAGACTGGAAAAAAATCTTAGTTCAATTATTAGAAAAAAACACGAACATTTAACAATTACATGGTTTCCATCACGGATTAATCTTAGTCAAAAACCATTGAGAACCAAGAACCATTCGTTTCATCATAAAACTGGGTGCAACAGTGCGCATTCAAGACTTCACTGAGGAGTCACACCCAAGATCCTTACCTCTCATATAGAGCGCTTAGACTTAAGACCACTGAACCAGTAACTAATAGTTTACAAGTCAAAATTAACTCGATTCGCAGCACTAAGCAACCATTTCTACCAACCAGGTTGAGGACTGGAACTACTGAGGAGTTCCATTATAGAATGGAACAAGCATATGAAACTTCCTAGTTTTCAATTAACTAAGGTCAATTCGTAGTAGGAATTAAACCGAATTTAGCAATTGCCACAAAACCCTTTACCCTGACGAAAAATTTATTTTAACAATGGTATATATATATATATATATATATATATATATATATCTCACCTTCATTCATTCTTAACCGTACCCAAAATATCAAATCACGTGAATCGTATACACGTTGAAATATAGGTGAATTTGGCCAATATTTTAATTCATTATAAAATTGTTCATTAGTGCTATTTAAAAAATGGAAGAAACTTAACTTCACATTCAAACTAGACGAAAATCAACCAAATGGTTAGTGATTTAGTTATTTCAAATTGTAAGTGTTTTGTATTCTCATTTGTAAATTATATTAATAATTACTATAGACGAATTCTCATCATAATTCAATATAAGTTAAGGAGTGGAGTGGAATTTATCTAAACTATAACATACTCAGTCCAATAAATTACGAAAAGGGGATTTCACGAACCACTTTTGACGGCTCCCGTAAACGTCGCTCAAGGAAAGCCTGGAAGAAGAGCTTGCCATCATTAAAACTTGCCCACGTGAAATGCATAACCAGTGAAATTCATCGAGAGGTATGCAGAAACCAACGTACGTGTTAACTACGCTACAAATGGAAAGAAGATCTACTTATATCTGCGATTCAAATGAGATGGAATCACTAGGATAATTAACTACAGGACGTATACCACGACGAAGGTTGTTTAACCATCCATCGAAGCTGCTACCTTGACGCGGTGGTCGGGCTTGCCTATCGTGATGACCCAACCGAGCTATATTGGCTGGAACATATGTTCCTGTAGGTTCTACCATGCCAGGCAGGTCGATTGGTGAACGGTAAGACTAAAAGCAGCAACTCAAGGTCTGAGGGCGAAGTCGTACTGCTGACTGTAGAGGGGTGTGACAGCAGTAAGGTGTTTCCTTCGGACAACCAGCATGACAGCGATGCTGCCTTCCCACAAGGAGGGGTGGGGTTAGAAAAGGTCGACCCTAAAAATGTCACACCTCACCTTACCTCACGGATTTCCGTCTCCGGCGGTAAGGCCCTTTGAAGAACGGAGCTAACACGTCAAAAACCTTCCACAAAAAGGCCGTGCGCGACCGGCCTCAAGCAGTTGTCCCTTGGGCTCTGCGGTCACGCTCCCAGGTCGTCAAGACCAACACTAATCCAATTTCCTTTTCAGGTTCCTCAAGAAATACCCTTCCACGGTGTGGGCAGCCGGGAAGTGACATCAGCCCTCATACCCGTAACAGCACAAGAGACCAAGGTGGTCACATTCAAATCCTTCCTACACCTCCTAATACCTCTCTTATCTCCATGACTAACCCTCCTCACGTCTCTTTATCACCTCGCACCGCTAGGGCAAACGATTTGAGTACGTGGAACGCCATTCCTGGTCTCCTGAAACCACGCTCTAAACTACACGTAGGAGCTTTTAACGTACGAACACTTTGCCAAATAGGACAGCAGGCTTCCTTAGCTAAAACTTTAGAATCTCGCGCCATCGATGTGTGCTGCGTCTCCGAAACGCGCATACAGGATCCGAGTAGCGTCATTCATTTGACCTCACCATGCCAAAATAAAGAACCGACTCGATTTACGCTTCGTGTATCTGGAAGCCCTGATTCTGCTTCCCGTGGCCTCGCCGGCGTAGGTATAGCATTGAGTCCTAGGGCAGAACTAGCTCTCTTAGAGTGGATCCCAGTAGACAGTCGTTTGTGCGCTGTCCGACTGAACGGAACAGTAAGAATCCGGAAAGATAGGGACACTCGTCGTTGCCTCTTCGTCGTCTCTGCCTATTCTCCCACTGACTGCAGCTCAGATGATGTAAAAGATGAGTTTTACAGAAAGCTTTCGGACCTTCTCCGAAAAGCTAGGCGCTCGGATGTAGTAATAGTGGCCGGTGACTTTAATGCTCAAGTAGGTAAACTTAGCGATAGGGAAAGACACCTAGGTGGATCTTATGGTGTCGTGGCTCAAAGAACAGATAATGGCGACCGTCTGTTGCAGCTATGCTCAGATAACCGCCTGTTCCTTGCAAATACTAACTTTAAGCATAAGGAAAAACATCTTTTAACATGGCGACCCCCGAATTCGTCCCAACGTTGGACCCAAATAGATCACATCGCTATCAGCCACCGATGGAGGGGCTCGATAGAAGACTGTCGCTCATTCTGGAGCACATGCCTAGATTCAGATCATGCTCTAGTGCGAGCGCGTATTTGCTTGCGTCTTACTGGACGTAGGAAAGACGCTGCAAGGAAACCTCTTAGGGCCTACTTAATGATAGTCAAGCTAAGAGTATATTTCAGGAACAACTAGGAAAACAGTTAGGCAGCCATGTATGTGATGCCCACCCCGATGCAGCATGGAATGATATCCGAAAAGCTGTGGAAACAGCAGTGATATCTGCTAGTAAGGTAAACCAGAAGGTTAGGGAGCAACACTGGATCTCAGCAGCATCTATCGCACTGATAGATGCTCGGAAACTCATTCCACCTGGCTCTGAACATAATGAAGAGCGGAGTCAGCTTAAGCGCAAGCTGACAAGAAGTCTACGCAATGATCGCGAACAGTGGTGGGTAGCGAAAGCAAGAGAGATGGAAAAGGCAGCGGCAATAGGTAATAGCAGACAATTGTTCAGACTCGTTAAGGAAACCGGAATTAGGAACCCGACCGTTAGCGAAACAATCTCAGAAAAAGATGGACATATTATTCATTCTCAATCCAGGAGATTGGATCGATGGGCAGAACACTTTAGGGATCAGTTCAACTGGCCTTCAGCCACACTTCGGTTTCCCACGATCTCTAGTCAACCTGAATGGCAAGTTAATGTAGGTCCTCCGTCCCTTTACGAAGTTGAAAAAGTGTTATGACCTTGCGTCTCCCAATTATATTGTTTTTGCCAAAATCCCCGTCGCCAATTGTTATGACCTTGGATGTCTTGTTTTGCTACCACGCGACCTATCGACCAATCCGGATACGACTTATACGAATATTCACAATAGGCCAACCAATGACGTTCAACCGGTGTGGGCAGTTTAGCGTCCTTATTGGTCCTATGTCCTACGAGCCCTTCCACTTGAGTCCAGAACAAGATACCAGCTTCCGAATCAGAGCAGATCGTTTATTTCAGGCATACTTGGTTTATATATCAATCACACAGACCGCAACGTACCATAAAATAGGAAATAATATTTGTACACAAATAAGCCCAAAAAGTGGCTGTGAGTGTGGGAGGCAGTAGTTAATAAACTGAACATAACTTAAGAACCGTAAATCGTACAATAATAAATTATAGGCCAAAATAAAGCTTGTCATAAGAGGGATATAAATATACATAGTGTAATTGTTGAGTAGTTATACAATAAGAATATTATTAGAATATTAGTCCATGAATAGTCCTCGGAAGTTACCTGTAATTTAATCTCCACTCGGATATAACACCTCCCCCTTTTTTTTTTGAAAATTCCAACTTTAGATTCTGATTAAAAAAAAGAATCATATGTGACTTTAAATTCCTCAACATTCTCCTCCTCCTCGAAATAATGTTGGGTCCTTATGGCTCCAAATTACAACTAGTAGGACTTTATTTAAACCATGTTTCTCGTATTGACTGGAGAATCCACTAAAAATGACTAGATGATGATGAACGACCTTTGATCTGAGTTCATTATTTTCAAATTCATTATGAATCTCGTTAGCAGATAACGAGTCATTAAGAAAGTCAACGTCTAACAGAATTAAATTAGATTTTTGGCCATCATTCGACTCAGCTGACATATTTCCCTCATTGTTATAAGAAGTTTCATCAAAATCATATGCATTATTCTGAGAATCAATATCTGGCACACTGTCATTAGAAATGGGATAAGTTGACTCAATATAAAATTCTGTCTTCCGGTGATTTTGAGTAACATCTGGTACAATTTGGTTCATCGTGTTGCTCCAGTTATTTTCTGAATACGAGTCACCATAGCTTTCTCGACTAGTAGCACGTGGACCACAATTTTGTTCGAGCTGACGTTTATTTTCGCAGCTAGACAGTACCAGTAGTGTTTCATTTGATTCTGGACTCTGGGCATCATCTACAGGATCTGGCTTCTGATCATCTGGTATTGTCACAACTTCATGTGCATTTAACACAATATTTTCTTGCTCTGAGCTGGACACGTTACCAATATTACGTTTCCCTTCTGGTATAGAGGGATTTGAATCCTGCACAGGATATGCTTCTGAAATGTCCATTACTGCACCATTATCTGCATGATATATAGATTTCTTATTTTCTGCTTGAATGCAAAGTCTGCCCAAAACTGTTACAAATAGCTGTTGTTGCAAGGCAAACATCTTCTGCTGGTGCTGTAATATTAATCGCAACTGTTCGAAAGAAATCGACATTTTTTTTTGCCAATAATATTAGCTCCAAAAATCACCGGCAATTATACAGCTAATTTATTTCCAAAATCTGAGTCACCACTTGTATTATTATTATTTCTTTGTTGCCAAAATCCCCGTCGCCAATTGTTATGACCTTGCGTCTCTTGCCAAAATCCCCGTCGCCAATTGTTATGACCTTGCGTCTCCCAATTATATTGTTTTTGCCAAAATCCCCGTCGCCAATTGTTATGACCTTGGATGTCTTGTTTTGCTACCACGCGACCTATCGACCAATCCGGATACGACTTATACGAATATTCACAATAGGCCAACCAATGACGTTCAACCGGTGTGGGCAGTTTAGCGTCCTTATTGGTCCTATGTCCTACGAGCCCTTCCACTTGAGTCCAGAAAAAGATACCAGCTTCCGAATCAGAGCAGATCGTTTATTTCAGGCATACTTGGTTTATATATCAATCACACAGACCGCAACGTACCATAAAATAGGAAATAATATTTGTACACAAATAAGCCCAAAAAGTGGCTGTGAGTGTGGGAGGCAGTAGTTAATAAACTGAACATAACTTAAGAACCGTAAATCGTACAATAATAAATTATAGGCCAAAATAAAGCTTATCATAAGAGGGATATAAATATACATAGTGTAATTGTTGAGTAGTTATACAATAAGAATATTAGTCCATGAATAGTCCTCGGAAGTTACCTGTAATTTAATCTCCACTCGGATATAACAAAAAGCCATAGGAAATCTGAAACGAGGGGGAGGAGCAGGCCCTGACAGGTTTACTCCTGAGATTTTTAAGGATGGTGGTCCAGTATTAGCAATGAGATTAACCGAGGTCATAGGTAGAATTTGGGAAGCGGACGTAATCCCATCTGACTGGTCTCAATCACTGATTGTGCCAGTCTATAAGAAAGGACAAAAGTCCTCTTGTGACAATCACAGAGGAATCAGTTTGACTAATATAGTGTCTAAAATATTAGCTTCAATAATACTTCGACGCCTAATCAAAGCTCGTGAAGAGCAGATTAGAGAAAACCAGGCCGGTTTTCGACCTGGACGTGGTTGTATAGATCAGATATTCACACTACGTCAGGTTCTAGAACACAGACACACATTCAGACGCCCCACAATGGTAGTATTTCTCGACCTTAAGGCGGCATTCGACTCTTTTGATCGTGAGGTTCTATGGCAGTGTTTGTCACTGAAAGGAGTACCAAAGAAGTACATTAACCTTATAAAGGCTCTCTACTCGAACACAACTGGTCGAGTGAGAGCTTATGGCGAACTGTCATCAGAATTGATTACCTCAAGTGGTGTTCGTCAGGGCTGTCCACTCTCCCCATTCTTGTTCAACTTTGTGGTCGACGTACTTTTAGAGATAACACTCTCCTCATCTAAATTTCCAGGGGTTGAACTTCTACCGGGAGGTTCACTTGTTGACTTAGAATATGCTGATGACATCGTTTTATTTGGTGAAGACGCTGACAAAATGCAGAGTCTTCTGACCACTCTAAGCAACAATGCAAGCATGTTCGGGATGCGATTCTCTCCCTCGAAATGCAAAATGTTGCTTCAGGATTGGGTTACATCGACACCCGAACTAGTGATAGGGAGTGAAGTAGTTGAGTGTGTCGACCGCTTCACTTATCTTGGAAGTCTCATCAGCCCTTGTGGTCTGGTGTGTGACGAAATCTCAGCACGGATACAGAAGGCTCGACTAGCTTTCGCCAACTTGCGTCATTTATGGCGTAGGCGAGATATCCGTCTATCAACCAAAGGACGGGTTTACTGCGCAGCAGTTCGTTCCGTCCTACTTTATGGCAGTGAAACATGGCCGGTAAGAGTAGAGGATATTCGTAGGTTACTAGTATTTGATCATAGGTGTCTTCGAAATATTGCTCGTATATCATGGGACCATCGAGTAAGTAACTCAGTTGTTAGGAAACGGGTACTAGGTAAGGATGGCAAATCAATTGATGAAGTAGTGAAACTTCATCAGTTGAGATGGCTTGGACACGTGTTACGTATGCCCAACGACCGACTGCCTCGACGTGCTATGTTCAGTGGTATAGGAGTAGGTTGGAAGAAAGCTAGGGGCGGCCAAACCAAAACATGGCACAAGTCCATGAAGTCACTGACAAGTGAACTGAGTCATGTTGGTAGGTGTAGACTACCTGGTTGGGGACCGCGAGATGATAGCAACCGATGGTTAGAGACCCTGAATGACATGGCTCAAAATCGTTTGCAATGGCGCAGGTGCATCCACTCTCTGTGTTCTCCCAAATTCTAATCTTCTGAATCCTTCATGTCCCTTTTTTCCTCTTTCCAAATTTATTTCACTGGATTATACTCTTTAAATAACATCTCCAAACACTAATCTTCCCGATTACTGCTTATACTCTTGCTACCTCTACCACTACGGGATTTGAATCGACAACTGCATCTCTGTGCTAATGTGGTGTGGCAACTCGAACTGATGTACATACGTACGAAGCTCTACGTTGTTACTGACTGACCATCAGCAAGACTGACAGCGTTATGCCAAATAAACTGCTCACTCAAAAAAAATTGACTGGTCGTCTTTGCTCAGTACCTGCAACTGCATGTACAAATTACGTGTACGTACCAAAGCACATACATTGAAATAATAGAGAGAAGAGTACGTGTTCGCATATCCGAGCACACTCAAAGAATTCGAGACTGTGAAGCACAACGGCTCTAAACAGTGCAAAAGCTCGCCATTTAAATTATATCTGGCATACCAACGGTATTCTACAACGCTTCAAAAATATTAGCAAATAATAAAGCACAGAGTCTCTCTGACTTGCCGAAACAGTAACAATAGGGAAACTCAAACCTGCTTTATGCATCCAGAAAGAGACATTTATCCACTAATCACTACCTTGGTAGATTCATAGCTTTGACTAGTTTTACCTGGAGTTATTTATTTTGTTATGTGGTCTTCGTCAAACTAATTCTTATTTTGCTATTTTTACTTCACACCAAAATCATCACGTTGTTCATCGGCCTTTTTATGCACTTAGTTCTGTAAACTTACGTAAACTCTTCAAATCCTGTTTAACTATAATGTGTAAACCATCTTATCAATTTCTAACTATAAACCATCACTACCTTACTGCCCTAGGTCCTCTATATCTGTTTTCAAATGATCTGAATCTTGTGCAAGTTCTTCACAACCTGTTCTGTTTCTGGACTTCGTTTAATCACAGCCTCACCCGCTCTCCTGTTTTTTGAATTCCGTATTCAAGTGACTTCACACCTGTTCAGTCACAGATATGCGCCTCCCTGTTTTTGTTTTCGAGTCACTCAATCATTTAATGATAGTCGGCTGCAGAATATGGAGAGAAATAAATTGAGTGTTCATGGATGCGCACTTTATGATAGTCATGTTGTAGGACAAAACGGCCGTCCAGCGATCCCTGGTTTTCTAACATTGTTCGATTCATGATCTCGATGAAAACTCAATCTTCACAAACCTACGCTGATAATGCGATTAATGTTTTTAACGGTGTTTGAGTGATGGTTGCTTCCCTCATCAAATCTTTAAATATATACGTGAATGTTAAATACCGTCTTCATCCAAAAAATCTACGACCTGTCACACAATCCCTAGTGTAATGCATTTGGTAGTTTTTCTCTGAACAGGATCCTTTGGCATTGTTAAAATTGTTATGGATTTAAATACGCTCCAATCTATATATGGTCGTAAGCAGCTGACAAGAAACCATTAAATGTAATGTATTCGTACTATTCAAGCTTACTTATTGTTCTGGCCTCATTCATTTTTAATTATAAATCCCCGAATTATTGGAACCAGTTATTTTTGAGTGGAAAATTACACTGGGTCTTTCCAACCAGTTTGTCTAAGGTAATGATACGTCATGTGACATTATGCTACCGTCCTTTCATTAGCGACAATGTGAATTCACATAATTAAAACCAATGAGCTAAATTATTAGTTGTAAACTAACTTGATTGGTATTGTCCATATTACACCAGTATTTAATGCTATAGTTCGTGAAAGTATCGGACTTTTAAGTTTGATTGATTCAGCTGATTCCGTGACATCTCTCTCTGCAATGATAATTTCCAATAGAATTTGTGACAATAATTCCGTTTGATCTGGATAAAAACATAAAAACGATCATTTCACTATAGATATTTTAATTGATTTAAATTAGTTTTCATAAGAAATGTCATATGAAATTGAGAAGAAATCATTTGATTGCGATAGACGGTTTACTGACTATATAATTGTGAGCACATATACATACTATATGAATAATACAAATGCATTTGAATGTAAACACCAAACAAGACTAGGGTTATCCACAAGGTTTTCAACGTTCATTATAGATGCTCTACCTAATAATTTCGTTCACTTCACAGTTGGAGAATGTTTCATTTTAAAGAATTGTTTTCATTACAGTTTTCGCTATAAGTGGCTGTTGTTATATTTGACTGTCTGCTATGAAGATGTTCAGCCAATACGCTAAATGTAAGGCACAAATATAATAAAAATTAGAGATTAAAAGAAAGTCTTCAGTGAATACTGCACTTCAATATTTGACGCTCTTCCGCTAAATAAAGGGAACAATGACCGGAAGTCCCTGACGTTTGTGTTGATAATGTTGTTTAAAAGAACTATGAAAGCTCCACGATTAAACCATTAAGCTGGGAAACTAAATTACATCAAAATTTCAAGGAAAGACACACTTAATCAATTGTGAAAACTTTACGAATAACCTAAGACCTATACAGATAGGTATCGTCGTTTCAGTGTTATTGTATTGATGTGCTAGAATCTAAAAGCAATATTGGGAACGAACAATGAATTGTTTTCATCTCGCAAGCAATCACAACAAGTGTAGTCTACAGTCAGTCAGTCAGTAACAACGTAGAACTTCGTACGTACGTACGTACATCAGTTCGAGTTGCCACACCACATTAGCACAGAGATGCAGTTGTCGATTCAAATCCCGTAGTGGTAGAGGTAGCAAGAGTATAAGCAGTAATCGGGAAGATTAGTGTTTGGAGATGTTAATTAAAGAGTATAATCCAGTGAAATAAATTTGGGAAGAGAAAAAAAAGAGACAAGGAGGAATAAGGAGATCAAGATTTGGGAGAACACAGAGAGTGGATTCACCTGCGCCATTGCAAACAATTTTGAGCCATGTCATTCAAAGTCTCTAACCATCGGTTGCTATCATCTCGCGGTCCCCAACCATGTAGTCTACACCTACCAACATGGCTCAGTTCACTTGTCAGTGACTTCATGGATTTGTGCCATGTTTTGGTCTGGCCGCCCCTAGCTTTCTTCCAACCTATTCCTATACCACTGAACATAGCACGTCGAGGAAGTCGGTCGTTGGGCATACTTAACACGTGTCCAAGCCATCTCAACTGGTGAAGTTTCACTACTTCATCAATTGATTTGCCATCCTTACCTAGTACCCGTTTCCTAACAACTGAGCTACTTACTCGATGGTCCCATGATATACGAGCAATATTTCGAAGACACCTATGATCAAATACTAGTAACCTACGAATATCCTCTACTCTTACCGGCCATGTTTCACTGCCATAAAGTAGGACGGAACGAACTGCTGCTCAGTAAACCCGTCCTTTGGTTGATAGACGGACATTTCGTCTACGCCATAAATGACGCAAGTTGGCGAAAGCTAGTCGAGCCTTCTGTATGCGTGCTGAGATTTCGTCACACACCAGACCACAAGGGCTGATGAGACTTCATACGATAGAAATAATTAGTTATTTTTATACGAGTCACCCACTAATTCGAGCCAAGGTTATTGGGATAGCCATGAGCTGATAAAATGAAATCTCACTGCCCAATTATAATTTAAATGATCTAATTACTAGTTGATATTTAATAAACATTAAATTGAATGTGTAAAGTGTATATGGTTGACCAAAACGAATAACCTACAATTGCTTCTATAAAGGATCATTAAATTCTTCAATCAAGTGTTTTATATTGTTTACTGACTACCAAGAAATACATATACTGAAGCCTTTTAGTGTATGAGCACTTATCTAGACTATGAGATCAAATCACTCAATGTTGCTTGATTGTTATTTTCTGTCTTGTTCCAAGTCTTATACTTCCTAACTGTAGAATGGTCCCTTGAATTAAGAGGTTATATGAGAAAACCAAATACACTCAGCTCAATAATCTACTGCAATGCTGACCCGTACTTGGTATGTCCTGAGTTTATAGGGAAATTAAGCTAAACCGTGTATTTGTTAATGGCTTTTGGGTCAGCATGAGAACGCTTAGTGGTCGATGCTTGATTCTCAACCAGTTAGTTGTGTTATGACTTTATGTCCGGCTTTTTATCACGCGATTTATCCACCAACCAAAATACGACTTATACAATCTTAGCACCGTACCAAACCAATGACGTTCGACCGGTATGGGCAGTCTAGTGTCCTTATTGGTCCTATGTCTTCCTAGTCGTCCATTTGAGTCCAGAACACCAATGCCAGCTTCCACTATGTGAATCGAATCGAATCATTTATTTCAGACATACTGGGTTTATATATCAATCAAACAGACCGCAGCGCACCATAAAATAGGAAATAATATTTGTACACAATAAAGCCAAAAAGTGGCTGTGAACGTGGGAGGCAGTAGTCAATAAACTGAACATAGCTTAAGAACAGTAAATCGTATAATGATAAATTATAGGTCAGAATGAGGCTTATAATAAGAGGAATATAATATGTATAATCTAATTATTGAATAGTTATACCATAAGAATATATAAATAATAATAGTCCATTAATTTGTCTCAGAAGTTACTCGTGATTTAATCTTCGCTCGGATATAACAAGTTGCATATTTGTACTTCATTCTATCTATCGGGGTTTTGGAAGCCTATGAGTAATATTATAACCTCTCAAACAAAAACCCGTGGTTACGTACTCGGATCTATGATGATAATGAGACACATTAATAGTGTCCTGGAAATCCGAACTAATGCATCTAAATCAAAGTAATGCACGCAATCATACAGATTACTTCTAACAGTAAGGACTAAATTGGTTGCAGACTAATGGATTATGGATTTTTTTCATTTACTATTAAAAAAAAACATTTTTTATGGAACTAATGATTTCACTTTGTTGTAAAACCAATTCCAAAAATTCTTGATTTAACAATTGCAGTATCATTTTTGTAATAACATATTCAAAACTTTTCTTTTGCTTGCAACATAACAGCATACTACTGATAACCTAATTACTCATTTATCAAATATTGATTCAAATGCTCAGTTTTAAGCTACTAACTTCTTCTATGCTTATGTTCCTCTGAATTGTAGCCAGTGCACAACTGAGAAGTAATTAAGTAGGTAAGAAGGTAAGTAGATAAGTAGATAGTTAGTTTAGTCAGTTAGTAATTAAGTAAGACGGCATCTGACTATGAATTTAGTTTGGTGAGTAAGTTATCACTCAATCATAATCACTTATGACAATTAAGCGCAGCTGGCATATGCATATGACCTTTTGTCCGCTGTAAAATACCAATTGTTCAAATCGAAGCATACAGAGCAGAATTTCCGCTTGCAACGTACCCATATTGTTGTGTGAGAATGAATGCTTGAAGAAGTGATAAGTTCAGAAAATATTTTACGGACTAGAAGTAGAGATTGATGGTGCATATCAATGGAACCTAGGACGATCATTTAGTCCTATTTGAGACTAGTCATCTGGATGTACCTGCATCCCAAAGTTGACGTTCACGCCAGGATCCAAAACCAGTGCCGTTCGCTCCAAACGCCGTCACGTAATCCACTTAAACATCTGGACTCCGTGATAAATACTACTTATGAATCAATATTATGATTATTATTTTATTATAACCTACAGCATAATTACTTACTAGAATTGATACTCTGTATTTTTGCAAGGAAATCTCTTAATTCATTATTTTGTTCAGAGATTATTTGATCCGATTCCACACCATCATTGTTTACATTCACTTCATCTTTTATCATGTCTAATGTAGTTTGACTAATTATGCCATCAGGACTTGTTAATAATACTGAAGTGGCTGAAGTAGTAGCAGTAGTAGTAGTGGTAGCAATAGTAGTATTTTCAAAACCCAATGATATATTTACTTCATTTATTATGGGTTTTTTATCCACAGATTTTGTATTTTCTATCGGTGTTTGTATTAATGATTTATTTTCATCTATACCGATTTCACTGACACCAACTGATGTCTCAAATCTGGATGATAATAGTGGTGTGATTGATTCGCTGGATTGTAGCGCTTTGTTGTTTCTATTGTCTGATCAGTGAGTATTATTGAAGAAGGACCATTAAAATTTTTAATACCTGGAATATTTCCAGATTCATCATTAACATTGTTGGATGATAGTGTACTTCGAATGATAAGTTTTCTCTGAAATGATTTCTGTGATAAACAATTTGTATTATTTACACAAAATGAATCATTTAATTGTAATGAGAGAAGTTCATTTTCCATCGAAATAAACTCATCATTTAATGATATTGACGCATTGAATCGTTGTTGTTCCTCTTTGTCTTCCATTAGAGTTTCTCCTCTATTTATTATTTTATATTCTCCCTCCTTCTCGTCCACTAATGTTGTCTCCACGTTCACTTGATCATCTTCATCTTTATGAAGTATCATGTGTTCATTAGCTGTTTCCAAATTAAACACATGGTAATTTATTTTCATGTACACATCTAATACCTTCCATGGTAAAATAATTTTCGCTTTCTTTATTAAATTTTCGATGAGAACTGAAAGTTAACAGAAAAATAGTGGAGTAAATGAATGGATGTGCATGCATGTAAACGGAAAGAAAGGAATGGAATCAGTCGAAAACGAAATTATGTTCGATAGTTTATGGAGACATTTACTGAAGAACTACAGTGACTTTCAAAATGACTTTGACATTGGCATGTTCATCACCATTAAGCCTCTATTCACTAAATATTGATAGGCATTACGTATTTCTTACCTAGCCCTTCATTAGATAAAACCAATATGTCGTTGCGTTTTGAATCGCCACGTGAAAATCCATGAGCCACTGTCTTAGACCTAATTGGTCCGCCATAAGATATTAATGTTTACTTTCAATGTCGATGGTGTATTTCTGTAAAGTCTCGAACTAGGATAAGGCAACTGTTTAGTACATCATACTAGTCTTTTTACACGTTTTTCATCTTGTAGTTTTGAAGTACAATATAATAAGATAACAGAATGCAATTTACATTAATCAGAGCTTGATAAGTCTTGTCATAAATCCAGTACACATCAGGTACGTGTTGAAAGAGATTTAATAATGAAGGAAATATTGAGGAATTACTACATCACTTACTTGTGTAACATAACATAATGTTTAGTTCAAAGTGATCAAATTATAAATTACCTCTCGAAATATTATATAATTATCCCATACAAACACCGTTTCATGTAAATAATTTAAATGTCAACTTCAATATGATATAGTAGACGAGAAATAATTCAAAAAAATCAGGGTTTATATCCCTCACCATTACGTATGTTTTCCGCTACTGAAAACTTAGATGAATCAGCTGTCGCCAAACGACTTTCAAAAAAATTAATGACTTGAAAATTTTGGTGGAGTTTTGTTCTCTGAGCTGGATGGTTTGGTCGTGGAGATTTCATCGTTCTTCTGAACGACATCATCAGCACAAACGTCAGATAGAAGTGAAGTGTTTGAATTTCTCCATATGTGTCTCAAAGCTTGTTCTGTGCACCTCGACGTTGATTGGTTCTTATTGACCTTAAATTTGTCGTTGTTTACTTTGTTTTGGTTGTGTCTCCCATTGTTTTGATTCTTGTTCTTATGTTTGTGCATGATTCTTCTGATTGGTTGATAAATTCGATTGATTTCAATATGCTTGTTGATTGCTGATTGACCTGAGTGCCAGGCTTCTAAAAATTCTCTGGTGTTTTTGCAGTTTCCTCTGTCTAAGATTTCCACATTTTTCCAATCGAATGAGTGTCCGCAGTTGTCCACGTGTATTGATATAAGTGAAGAGATATCATGCCGTTTGACTGCTAATTGATGTTCATGTAGGCGAAGGTGAAGGGGGCGTCCGCTTTGTCCGATGTAGTGTTTTTCGCAGTTGGCACAATTTATTTTGTAGATGATGTTTGATTTGTCTTCCTTTGTTATTTCATCTTTTGGTTTGCATAGGATTGATTGTAGTGATTTTGTCGGTTTGTGTGCTACACCTATTCCGAAGGTTTTCAGCAGTCTTGTTGCGGTTTCTGATATTCTTTGTATATATGGTAGGGTGATCCTTTTGTTGATTTTTGTGCTTGACTTGCGTTCTGATGCTGCGTGCGGTTGGTACTTTTTGATGAAGTTGATTGGGTAGCCGTTCTTCTGAAATACATCCTTCAGGTATTCCTCTTCATTTCTTCGTGCTGCGAGTGTGCTGCAATGTGTTCTCGCCCTCTTGAACAAATTGTGTATGCAGTTGATTTTGTGAGCTCTGGGGTTGTTGCTGTTGTAGTTGAGAATTTGATCCGTATGGGTTGGTTTCCTATATACTTGAGTTTCCAGTTTTCCTGTGTCGGTTCTAGTGATCAATATATCCAAGAATGCTAGTTGGTTGTTTGACTCCTGTTAAATGGTGAACTTGATGTCATCGAAGACGTTGTTGATCAGGTTGTAAGTGTTTTCTAGTTCATTCTTTTTGACGATGACGAAGGTGTCGTCTACATAGCGAATCCAAATTTTTGGTTTGATCACTGGTAATATAGCGGCTTCTAGTCTTTGCATCACTGCCTCTGCGATCAATCCTGATATTGGTGATCCCATTGGTGTCCCTTTCGTTTGTTCGTAGATTTTGTTGTTGAATTGAAAGTATGTTGTTAGGCATAAATTGATGAGTTCCTGTAGACTTTGAATTTGAAGCTTCGTGTATTTAGTGAGGTTTGTGTCGTTGTTGAGCAGCAGGGAAATAGTTTCTTTTGCTAATTTTGGTTCAATTGATGTGAATAGAGCTGTCACGTCGAAGGATATCATCAGTTCGTCGTTGTTGATTTGGATGTCTTTAATTTGGTCCAGGAATTGTGTAGGGGATTTGATTGAGTGGTTGGCTGAATCAGTCGAATTCCAACATGTAAACTGTTGTGTTCCGGCTCACTGGTCTAAAGTTTAAGTGCTCACTGTGAGACCTTATAATCCTGAGTCCAATCCGCCAGTGAGATCGTAAACGCCCGGGTAAAGGAGGAGGGGTGGACATGAAGTCGACAATCCTAACCCGCAGAAAAATATCTTGTTAAAAATCCCCAACCAGATTAAAAAAATAAAACCATTCAAACTCCGCCCTGGGAGTTAGAAGATCTTCATTTAGAAGAACTATGACGCCTCATGGTGAAAACCAAGTTCCTTCGGAAGCCACGAGGCCGATGCCCCTTCTAACAACCAGAGCAACAATTTTTATAGGTACATGGAACGTCCCGACAATGCGGTAGAACGAGAAGACCAGTCAAATAGCAAAGGAAATGAGGAGATACAAGTTGGTGGTGCTCGGAATCAGCGAAAACCATTAGACCCAAGCTGGGCAGCTAAAGCTATATACGGGAGAGATGCTACTGTACTGTGGTCACGAAGAGGGAAATGCTCCACACACTGAGGGAGTGGCACTGATGCTGTCCAAAGAAGCACGTAAAACACTTATAGGATGGGAATCTCACGGATCCAGAATCATCAAAGCATCATTCAAAACAAAGAAGGAGGGGATTACAATGAATGTTACCCAATATTATACACCCACCAATGATAGCAACGACGACATTAAAGATCAATTATATGAGAAGCTGCAATCAATCATAGCGAGGTGCGCAAGAAAGGACATCACTATTTTAGTGGGAGATTTAAACACTAAAGTCGGAATAAACAACACGGAATATGAAGATATCATGGAAAGACATGGACTGGGAGAGAGAAACAAAAATGGGGAGAGATTTGTAAATGTATGCGCATTCAACAAATTGGTTATAGGCGGCACAATATTTCCACATAAACGCATACACAAAACTACATGGATCTCACCGGACCACATCACAAAGAACCAGATAGATAATATCAATAAGAGATTCAGGAGGACAATGGAAGATGTAAGAACTAGGAGAGGAGCTGAAATAGCTTCAAATCACCACCTGGTTGTGACCAAGATGAAACTGAAGCTAAGGAAACACTGTACAACTGGAGGAAAAGCATTACAAAGGTTCAATACACCCTTCGAGATACTAACAAACTCAACGAATTCAAGATAAACCTCAAAAACAGGTTCCAAGCCTTACAGGATCTACTGAATAAAGAAGAAACTACTATGGAGGACAACTGAGAAGGTATCAAAAAAGCATTAACTTCAACGTGTCAGGAGGTTGTGGGCCTAAAGAAGCATCATTATAAGGAATGGATTTCTGTGGAAACCCTGGACAAGATCAAAGAAAGGAAGAACAAGAAGACAGCAATTAACAACAGCAGAACACGAGCAGAGAAACTCAAGGCACAAGCTGAGTACATAGAAGGAATCAAGAAAGTGAAGAAGAGAATTAAAGCCGACAAGCAGAAATGCGTGGAAGAACTAGCAACGATACAGGAAAAAACCGCAGTAGAAGGAAATATCAAACAACTATATGATCCAACGAAGAAACTAGCAGGGAGCCATAGGAAACCAGAGAGACTGGTCAAGGACAAAGGAGACAGGCAATCACTGAAATTCAAGAACAGCGGAACAGATGCGTAAAATACTTAGAGGAACTCTTGAGTATACATGCTCCATTAGATCCACCGAAGATCGAAGCAGCACCTCCAGACCTTCCTGTAGATGTCACTCCACCAACAATCGAAGAAATCAGGATGGCTGTCAGACAAATCAAGAGCGGGAAAGCAGCAGGACCCGACAACATACCAGCTGAAGCACTGAAGTCAGACATCTAAGTAACCACAAACATGCTATACCTTCTATTCAAAAA